TTGTGGGGTTGTTAACCAATGTCATAAAACAATATGTACTACTGTTTCATGAGAAACTATTTGTTCTGTAAGCCTTCACCCGAAGTACAATAAAAAAAATAAAAATAAAAAATAAAATTTAAAAACCCACAATAAAGTGTTAAAATGTTTGATTTCTGTTGTCTCCCATTTTGCTAGTGTATTAGTAAATTATAGATTTTCCTATAGAAGCTGAAAAGATATAGCCATTATAGATAGAGCTATTGTTTACTTGTATTAAAATTACTTCACTTTCCTGGAAATCTAATGAATTACATTTATACTTGATCCACATTTATATTAATTAATGGATTATTTATAATTTAATCAAGCTTATTAAAAATTACCAGGATTTTCATAATTTTAGAAATAATGGGTATCTTCACTCTAATGACGCCACTGTTTTTGTTGAGAATTAAAAAAGAAAATAAGCAACGAGAAAAATATGCAATTAGGGGCAATTTTTACTTTCTTCTTAATTTTCTGTAGTTCCAAAATTTTCTACAATGAACATGTATTACTTGAATGATCGAAAAATTTATTTTTAAAAAGCTAGTGTACAAAAGCACCACATTATATAGGAATAAAACAAAACCAAGGGCAGTTCTGAATGCCCTCTTCTCTAAAGCGTAGCTTTTGCTTTGTGCCCCAGACAAGTTTTCTAAGGATCGGTGGTTGAAGGAGTAGAAAATAGAAGCTGGGAATTAATAATTCCCCATCCTATCCAAAGAAAAAGACAGAGTCTAGGCAAATTTAGTTCCGCTCATCTGTCCAGGCATCTTTATACCATTACGTCTCAAATATCACTTGAGGAAATAGCATCTAGATCTTTAAAAGAATCACAGATTTGCTAAGGAGAGAGAGTATGGAAAGCATGAACCTCTGTTTCTCTTGTCATAGTCTATATCTTCTCTAAATCTAACTTCTGCAGGTGGATCTAAGAATTTTGTGTTCTAAAGTAACAAATGACTAAATGTAGAAAAGGAATTGTTCCCCCTTAGAAACAGAAGGAAAACAGAAATAGACCGTAAGCACAGTGTGATTATGACTCTTACAGAACTTCGGTATCATGGGTACGTTAAACAAATACATGAAACGTGTTTTAACACACCCACTATTACTGAGCAATTCACACGAATCAGGCTAAATCTCCTCAGGGATTGAAGACTATAGTGCTTCATTTGCTTTTGGAGTCCTAATTTCCCATACAGACTATACTGAGGTTCAGAGAGTTTAAATGAACTTTCATCCAAAACTAAGCAGATCAAGATGATAGTATTTCAGTATGTATTTTTCTACCTGTAGAAAAAAAGTATGGCAGTTATTTATAAGATACCATTAGCAGTAAAACAAAAACCCTGATAGATGATGTTATTAGAGTACACCATTAACTCTAGTAATTTGCTGACTTAATCACTAACACAGGTTTCTCAAGAACAAGGCAATAGGTGTGGTACTGGGCCTATTGCAACTGATGACTTTTCTAGATTATTAGGACTGAGAGTCATATGAAGGGATGGGGATGGGGAGGATAATGAGAAAATAATTACTATATTCACGATGACACAGACCACATGATAACATGATATAATGGAAGAGAGCATGGGCCTGAGATCAGGCACTGAGTTCTGGTCCCAACCCTGTCTCTTATTAGCTGGATAACTACAGGACATCACCTGACCTCGGGGCCTGGGATTTCTCATCTACAAAATGAGAGGATGGTTCCAGCTAGCCACTGAAGATCCTTCTAATTCTAAAATTCTAATTTCTCTCCTCTTAAGGGCTGATTAAACAAAGGTCCACATCTTTCATGTTTTCTTTGAAGAATTAAGCTTTTGTGAAGAATTCCAACTTCTTTCTCCTAATCAAGAGAGTGTTTAAAAAGAGCGTGGAAGGCTACAACTTCCTTCTGGAGAAACTCAAGTATTGGGGAATAGCCAGAGCCTCATGTCAGTGAAAATATTTTATCTATTAGAAAACTGGCATAGCTTAGACAAACTGTAAAAAAAAAATTAACATTTGTGAGCATGGAAAAATAATGAGGTTTAAAAGAGAGAAAGGAAGCTGGAAGGAAAGAAATCAGTATACTTACTTCTTTCTAAATCTCAGTACTACAGTAAGGAAAGGCAATTCAAACACTTTTTTTTTTTTTCAATATGACATTCACAGAATCCTCACTCTGCAGTAACATGAATTATGCATTTTAATGACAAAAAGAGATATTCTTATGTGTCTCCTTTCAAATCTACTAAGTTGTTATATTGATGCCATTGAAAGAGTGCCAATGAATTCAGTAGGTAACAGAAATGAAACTGAAATCACACAAACCCTTGGGTCCTTCGTCCTTGGGAGGGTGAAGGTTCCTAACTGGATCCCGGATACTGCAGTCTGTTCCTGCCCAAGTAAAATCACAGATGCAAGTGGCTTCGTTACTACACACCTGTGAAGAAGGAAGAACAGAGTTGGGGCATTTTCATTGTGCTTTGGGGAATAGTGCTTGAAAATGTAAAATAGACACAGGGGGCAGGGAGGAAGCTTTAAAAGCTTTCTGAAAATTTTAAAAATGTTTCCCATGGTTTTGAGCACTAGAAAAGGGGAAACCATGTATAGATCAAATTGTTGAATTTTTTTTTTAGTTAATTATAGGAAAAAAAGACTAAAAGGAAGAGAATTTGAAATTAAATTTTAATTATTGCTGTTATTTAAGTATACAAGTGTGTCTGACAATGTAGTTTTTTTCCAAAGTAGTTGTCTATACCCATACCTGTTGCTGTCAAGTCGATTTTGACTCATAGTGACCCTATAGGACAGAGTAGAACTGCCCCATAGGGTTTCTAAGGCTGTAAATCTTTACAGAAGCAAACTGCCACATCTTTCTCCTGAAAAGCAGCTGATGGGTTTGAAACACTGACCTTTCGGTTAGCAGCCACATACTTTAAACATATATATTAAAGATACTGGGCTCAATAGGCAGGGCCAGAGGTTGAAAGGCCAGGAGGCATTAATTACCAATGCACTGCATTATCTCAACACATCCAACACCAGACTCATTACTTTCCTTGCCAAATGAGCATCTCCCCCACCTTCCCTGCCTATGGCTGGTATCACTCTTCTCTCTGTCAGCCAGATTGAAGATCCTGGCATGATCTTAGTCTCCTCTCTCTTCCTCTGTGGACCAAGCAGCACACTAGAATGGACTTGTAATTTAGATGAAATAAACAACCATCTGCAAAACTTGAGACTGTGGTGTTTAAACCCTTATCTCTCCGTGAAATACATTCAGAGATAGATTATTAAAGATTAACATCAAATTTAAGCTTATTGTTATAAGAAGCTTTTCAGTCTGAAATGTTACAATACCAAGATTATAATCAATAAGACTGAATTTGACTTTTTTAAAACAAGATAAAAAAGTGGGAGGGATTACATAGGGAAGAATAAGGGTCTTCTCATGTATTAAATCATAGGGTCGCTATGAGTCAGAATCGACTTGATGGCAACGGGTTTTGTTTTTGTTTTGTTTTGTTTTGTTTTGTTTTTTGTTTAGAGCAATAATTAAAATAACTTAAAGGTCTTCCCAGGGATTTTATTTTAACTTAATAATTATTAAGCACTTACTAGGTGCTAGACATGTATGCTAAGTGCTTTCTGTGTTGTTGCTTGTTGTTAGGTGCTGTAGAGTTGGCTCCGACTCACAGCGACCTTATGTAGAACAGAACAAAAGGTTGCCCAGTCCTGCACCATCCTCACAGTAGCAGGTATGTTTGAGCCCACTGTTACAGTCACTGTGTGTGAATCCATTCATTGAGGGTCTTTCTCTTTTTCTCTGACTCTCTAATCCTTATACCAGCACCCTAATGGCTAACAGAGATTAGGTGACTTGCCCAGTGTCACTAGGATGGGAAGCAGTTGAGCCAGGATTCAAACCCAGGATGTGATTTAGCTCCAAAATCCATGCTCTTAACCACTAGGATATACTGCTCTCCCCTGTAAGTCTACAGTTCAAATAAACTCAAAACTCCAGATAGTCACATACAAGCTTCTTAGGCCTTCCCACCTTATTTTACTCCATATGATGTGCCATTTCTTGGATCGTCTTAACCTTCATTCCAGAAATTCCTTTTTACATTATTCCTCTACATTTCTTCACATCTCTTTTTCCCATTTCTGAAGTCTTTATAAATTTTTAGATACTTTCCCTTTGCTGAGTCTAATTTAAATAATTGTTAAAATTTGTTTTTTTGGATTTTAAGCTAAGGTGTATCAGTAAGTCCAGCTTGTCCAAAAAATATGTTCAGGAAATTAAAGATATATTCAGGTGTGACTAGCGAGAGCATCCTCTCTTTGGCTGATGCTGATCCAAGCGTAATTGTACAACTTTAAATATGAATTACATCAGCGATCAAATCTCTATTTTAGTGTGATCTTGTGCTCAATATGCATGGGGAGCAGCTGAAAGTATATTATTGAGAAGATTTAAAAGTTACTTTGAATATAACTGGTGTCACTGAACTGTACATGCAAAAAATGTTGAATTGGCAAATGTTGTGATATCTATGCTTACAACAATAAAAAAGTTATATTGAGCCCGGCTACCACCAATGACCACCCTGACAGGGAACACAAGAGAGAGCCCCTGAAAGAGCAGGAGAAAAGTAGGGTACAGAACTCAAATTCTAGTAAAAAGACCAGACTTAATGGTTTGATTCAGGCTGGAGGGACCATGGAAGACATGGCCCCTGACTCTCTGTTAGCCCAAGACTAAAACCATTCCTGAGGCCAACTCTTTAGTCAAAGATTATACTGGACCATGGGACTTAAAATGATACTCGTAAAGAGTGTGCTTCTTAGTTCAAGTAGATACAGGAGACTACATGGGCAGCTCCTGTCCAGAAGTGAGATGAGAAGGCAGAGAGGGTCAGGAGCTGGTTGAATGGACATGGGAAATCTGGGGTAAAAAGGAGGAGTGTGTTGTCACAGTATAGGGAGAGCAAGTAGGGTCACATAACAATGTATTATACATTTTTGTACGAGAGACTAACTTGAATTGTAAACTTTCACTTAAAGCACAACAATAAAAAAAAAGTTATATACAATAGTACAAAGTAGTTACATGGAGTCTATAGTTTATTTAGGAACCATATCAATTTTCATTCAACTTCTTAGATGGCACAGAATGTCTAGAGAATGTAATGACTATAATTAGCCCGTGATAAAGAGAACAACAAATAAAACCTTATCAACACACATGGTTGTTATCCTCAATGGATAAGGGAGTTAAGGGATAGTCATAGTCAGTGCGCAGATATTGGCAGCAGCCAGAACAAAAGTCTAACCACCATGAACTTTCAAGATGTCAGACAATGAAGGTTGGAGTTGGAACATTGGTACCTACTTACCCCATGGCCTGAGCAGACTTTGCCCTTGGAATCGAGAGGGCAGCTGCTCATGTTTAAGGCCTGAATCTGTAGGCACTTCCGATCCAAACACATCATAGATGGGCCACATGGTGTTCCGTCTTCTACATAGCCCACGTCTGTATCATCATCTAAAACCACATGAGCACCACTAAAAGGAGAAAAATATTCATACAACCATTAGAACCACACTTAGAAATATAAAGTTAAAATGAATGAGGCTTGCTAGCTATTTAAAGTAACAGGAAACAGAAGAGGTTGTCAATGGATATGAGTTTCTCCCAGCATTCCTCCCCTTCTCCTTTTTCCTCTTTCCCACCTGCCCTGAATAAAAAAGCATAATAAAAGAAACTAACTGCCTTTCATTATTATTATTACATTGCATGTCATCAGAAAAAAAAATGCCATGTGCACAAAGTGAATTCTAAATGTTTACTTGTTTTCAAGACCAAACAAGACTGGGGGAAGAAGTGTTTGTGTAAGAACAAACAGAAGCAAACTTATAAGCTCTCTAAGGCTTTTAGATGTGGCATGGGTAGAAAAAAGAAGACATTGGGCAAAAACAACAAATACAAATATTCTGAAAATTATTACTCTTCTGAGAATTTGATTATTCATGATTGAAAAAAAAAGGATTAGTTCCTCTTTATTGGTTTTTAATTCTAAAATTTCAAAGTTAGGGACAACTTGAATTTGAATGATAATCAATGCCATAATTATTAATAGAGTGCCTTATTGCACTTTTTACAAATATACTACTTCAGAATATAACAATATAATTTAACAGGGCCGTTGGAACCATGGCTATGCAGTGGTTAAGCATTTGGCTGCTAACTGAAACGTTGGCAGTTCAAACCCACAAGCCGCTCTGCGGCAGAAAGATGTGGCAGTCTGCTTCTGTAAAGACTATAGCCTTGGAAACCCTAAGGGGCAATTCTACTCTGTCCTAAAGGGTGGCTATAAGTCGGAATCGACGCGACCGCAATGGGTGTTGGGTTGCATCTAAATTCACGCTAAAACTTATACATTGAAAGGAAGCTTATGTGCCACAAAGTAACTAGCTTTGAAGACTACAGATTTATCCTAGGAAGGATCGCACTGTCTAAGATCCTATTAGAATCGCCTTCAGAGCCATCTGAAAGACAGAAATTCAGCAATCATTTGATCAAGACAGCATTACTCAATTTAGTTACCCAATCATTTTACTAAATTTAGTTAAAAATTATTTTTGGATGATTATAGGAATATAAGATTCCAGAATATAAGATCTCATATGATTTCACATCTTATATTCACTCATGTAAAATAAAGGTGTGCGACTCTGGAGATACCAAAAATAACAGGTGCAGATACTAAAAGCAATTCTGTAGGAGGAATCTCAAAAGTATTTTGGGCAATAACTGTGCCACTTGAATAGGAACGCAACATCTTAGAATTATGACTACCTTGAAGAGAACAATGCTTATTTTTAATATGACTCCCTAGCTTATAAGCCTTGTACTCACTGACAACTGGATATCAAATGTTTGCCTAATATAAATGGCATTTTAACAAATATTCTCCATATGTGACTGGGTATTTATTAAGCCGTCTTCCATACCAGACATTTGCTATATAAAGTATAGGTTACCTTCTTTTTTTGGCATAAAAAAGTAAAACACACACAGTTTCCACATAGTGATATATTCCAATGCTCAAGACTTTAATCATTGGTCAAAATGGATACCGCATTTCTACTTTTAAGATTAAGATGACAAAAACAAGGGTCCCTATTAATAACTAGTACAATTGTTAAGCAAAATTTTTATAATTTCAAAGTCATTATACAACTTTGTTTTTTAAATGACTCTCAATGTGAAAGATTGATAATAAAATCTACTTTTCTTCTTGTGAGAACTAGAATGAATATTCTTTGATTTTTCTAAATTTGTAATCCTCATGGTGCATTAGGTTTTCTAACATTTAATATATTACCTGCAGTCAATCACCCGGCCTTGGTGGTAGAAGGAAGTTGGAATAATCTCACCCTGAAGTTGACCAATACGTGGAGCTCGAGTAAGATTGGTACAGAGTAAAAATCCACAGAACACATCACTGAACATGTTTAAAAAAGAAAAAATACAGGGGGAATCAAGCTCAGAAATTCAAAACTATTCAATCTATTTAAATTTCAAAAATACTCTTTTTCCTTCTCAACAAAAATGTCTGTCGAAGATATTGTTGACTATGACCCTCCCTCCTTCCTTGCTAACAGAATCACAGCTTTGTTTGGGATAGGAAAGTGCCCATCCCTGAAAGATGAATCATGAATGATGTCTAACACTTTCAAGACCCAATTATTTTCTCCTTTGAATTTTTTGTTGATACCATATATTTTCACTAATGAAAGGCTTGCTGATTAAAGGACTAATTCAGAATTTTTGTTATGAGTTATGGATTTTGATACCCATTATCGGGGTAACAGCCATCTCAGTGGACCCTGGATGATGTAAATCCCGCCAATATGAGTCAATGATAGAATTTTTTTTTAAATTTTATTTCTTTAAAATTTGCAAAATATAAGGTAAAACATGAAGGCAACTGGCAATGACTGCACATACATTTTATTCTAGTCTCATTCTTTTTAGCCTTTTTGTTATTTTTCAGAAACGTTTCAAAATATGGTACAATGCATTCTTCTTTACCGCAAAAGCTGTATTTACAGCTCAAATAAATAAAGCCAAGGGATTTTTTCATCTCAGAAAAATTACCACTACAATGCATTCTTCATTCTGTAGAAGCAGTACCTAGAGGCAAACTAAATAAAACCAAAGGAATTTGAATCTTGGGAAAATTACCACTACTATGTTTTCTTCATTATAACGAAAGCAGCACTAACAGCTAAGAAGCAGAAACAGCTGCCCTGGAATACTGCAGAACTGCTCACAGCAGTGCATTCTACCTGCTACATGTGGAAGCAATGAGTGGGCCCTAAGATTGAATGCAGGGTAAGAATAACTTATAGGAGTTCCAATCTCTTGAAACGTACCATTGCAGTGCATTATTCCTTATTGGAAAGGCATTATTTACTGTTCAGAAGCTGGAAAAGAAGGCAGCCAGCTGGAAACAATGAACGGTCTAAAGGAGAAAATAGCCACTATGACTGAATGAAGACTGGCAAGAGCTTATTCTCACGGTAAGTACATTCTCATGAGAACGTAGCAACTGGGAAACATAGTGAGGAGGCTTATCTCAAAGAAATAAAGGCAAACTTGTTAAAAGTTTAGAAAATTCACACATCTGGGAGGCATTGCCTAAGACATTGCTCAGTTTACACAAAAATGAGGCTCCCACTTAGGATTTTTGAGTTTCACACATTTCAAAAGGTTCCCACCTTGAGGCTAAACGTGTTAAAATCAGGCTACCCCCTTTCCAAAGAACTCCAGAGGCATAAAAAGTAGGTGGGATATGGTATGTCCCACAGGTCTTGAAATGGTCATAAGTAAGCTATGCCCACTTTCCTGGCCATCTTCCTCCCCGCATCCCCGGAGCTAGAAGTTGCCGCTGTGACTGAGTTCTAGCAGTGTTGAGAGAGGTAAAACTAGCTAGGGAGTTGCTGGGGAGAATTTTGCTTTCTGGGTAAAGGCTTGTTGCTCCTACCCTTGCTTCCTGCTTTAGAACATAGAGCTTTGTATCCACTTTGCAGTCATGAGTTCACAAGCATAACAACAACAACAAAAAAAAGAGTAAAAGGATTGAAAGGGCCTGGGTTCTTGGCAACATGAAATGACTCACCCAACTTGAGGGCACCTACCTCCAGCCTATTAAGTAGATAATGAACTTCTAATAAATGGGCAAAGAATTGAACTAGTATATCCCAGAAAAGGAAATCCATGCCCAATAAATACGTGAAGATGTGTTAAACCTTTTCGGTAATAAGGGAAATGTAAGTTAAAACCAAAATAATACAGCAGCTCACACTCACTTGAATAGATAAAAGTAAAAAATATGACAATACTAAGTGTTGGTGAGAATCTGGTATGACACAATTTTCATACACATATTAGTGATACATATACTAATGCATTCATTTTGGAAAAGAGTTTGATATCATCTGGTAACACTAAAAAGATATATCCCCTTTGACCTAGCAATTCTTCTTTTAGGTATAGGTCCTACAGAAACTTGCATAAATGTTCACAACATTTGCAAAGAATGTTCACAGCAACATGGCTTGTAATAGCCAAAACACGAAAACAAACAAATGTCCACTAACATAAAATGGAGAAATAAATCATTATATATTCATATGAATATGAATGAAAATGAACAAAAGACAGTTACATACACCACAAAAGACTCTAGAAAATACTGAATTTAAGTAGCAAAATCCAAAATAACACATGCAGTATGACTCCTTTTATATAAAGTTACAAAAACTTTAGGTAAAATACATTGATTGGGGATGAAACTTAGGCAGTAAAACTCTAAAGAAAAGCAAGTAAGCAATTGCCATAAAAGTCAGAATGATGGTACCTCCGGAGGTGGGACTGTGATGAGAAAGAACAGGACACATTTCTGGGATGCTGCAATGCTCTATTTTACATGGGAGTTCACTTCGTAATTACTTGGTAAGCTGTATATTTATGTGTTATTCCTTTTGTTTGTTTATATGTTATATTTCACAATTTTTTAAAGTTTAAAAAACATACAGTAATTTTCCTTAACTCATTGGTGGTTAGGTATTCTGCTATCAGTTATGTTTTACAATAATCTATCCCCAATGTCTCTCAAACTTTTTGAAAAGTCATAGAGAAATAAAGAAAGGTTGGGCTGGAATCTCTGTTTTTAATTTGGTTGAATTTGAAAGAAACTACAGTCAAAGATTCGTTTTCTCCTAAGGCCTCATCCACCACCAAAGACTACACGGAACTGTAAAGTTTCATAAAGTACAGCATAAAGATCATCAACTAGAGAAAAAAAAAAGTTGTTGCCGTCGAGTTGATTCCAACTCATAGAGACCCCTATAGGAAAGAGCAGAACTGCCTCATATGGTTTCCAAGGTGCAGCTGGTGGATTCGAACTGCTGACCTTTTGATTAGCAGCTGAGCTCTTAACCACTGTGCCACCAGGGCTCTAGAGAAATAAAAATTCCCTTAAATCCTGCTCTGCTTCAAAATTGGCAGAAGGTTCCTCATTACTATGGAAGAAAAAAGGGGGAGCTTTTGCCTATAACTTAATGGTCCCATACATCTAAGTGACTGAATCAACCTTAAAAAACTATTACGTCAAAACTTTAACTTTCCTCAACTAATGAAGAGGAAATATTCCTAATGTGATCTGAAAGTATATCATTTTTTGAGTAAAGAGACTTCATATATGCACTGTTGTTGCTGGGTGCTGGAGAGTCAATTCCAACTCACATCATCCCCATGTGACAGAGTAGAACTGCCCCATAGGATTTTCTTGGCTGTAATATTTATGGGAGAAAATTACCAGGTCTTTCTCCCATAGAGCTGCTGGGTGTCTTTGAACTGCCAATTTTTTGGTTAGCACCCAAGTGCTTGACCATTACGCTACCAGGCTCCTTCAAATATGCATTAATTGGATTTTTTTTAGAAGAAAACAAATCTCAGACATACATACTAGATGAATAATTAAATCAAATGGTGTTGCACTCATGAGATGATCAAAACCATGTATTATTTCACTTTGAATGGTCCCAGAAATATTTTCCATAGAATCTATATATTTTGCCTATTAAACTTTGCATATATAGTCAATTCATAGGCCATATCTCCTAGCAAAATAGAAAATTAAAACCTAATATTAATTTGTAATATTTTGGCAAAGTACCACTTTAAAACAAGCATCAAGTAAAATACAGTGTGTGAGAAATTTTCAAAATTTTATAGAAATGGTATGAGTTTGTGCCATAGGTTAGCCCATGGCTGTCTGGCCTCAAGATATACTAATGTAGTTTTAAGATACTTACTTTAAATTTTTAAATAGTTGAGCATTTATAAAAAAAATCAGTAACATTTATTTTGTGCTCATTTCATATTTGAATCAGAGCTTCCAAGTCCAGTTATTATGCCACAAAGCTGACCACTCACTGTTTGCTGCACTGGATCCATCGGTCTCCGTCCTTCCCGCAGTTCCCCTTCTCTGTGCCTTCTGTATTCAACTTTTCATAACAGAACTTATCAGACCCTGCAGCCTCTTTTGGAGTTGGGCAAGAGAAGAAAATTTCTTTTAATTCTCTTTGCTATCCGTAACCTATAGCATGCTGATAAATGTTTCACAACTGGCTCTCCAGGAAAAAAAGAAATTCCTAATTTGTAGCATTTGCCAATTTCCGTGGTGTAAATACTCCGTGGCTGGCTTCAAGATACCAGCGTAATGTCACCTGAATTGCAAAAGTCCTGAAAATATAACAACTGGCTCTTGCAAGCAAATACAAGGCAGTTCCAGCACACCACTGTTTTTTTAATCAGAGAAAGAAATTCCTTTCAATTCTTGTTGGCAGGCTTGGGGATGGGGGTGGGAATGACCATCTGTAGCAGGAATTAGTGAATTAACCTTAAAAGACTATTAAAACACAATTCTAACTTTCCTCAACTAATGAAGAGGAAATATCGCTAATGTGCTCTGCAAGCATATCATTTCTTGAGTAAAGAGACCTCAAACATGCACCGTTGTTGATAATAAAGCTAATAAACATTAATCCTGTTTTAGATCGGGGATATTGCCTTAGCCTATAGAGATTTTGTGTTGGCACTTGGGTTTTGATATTTAAACTTCTTAAAAGATAAATATGTCTCTATTATCTTCACTTTGTCAAAATGAAGCACCAAACAGGAATCTTTCAGTTAAATGGTATTTGCCAAACACTGGAGTCTTTTGTGCCAGGAGCTCTGTTCTTCTTTTGTGTGCTTTCTTTACTTTTGGGGTGACCCAGCCTCAGTCATCAAGGCAGACCCATTCCTCTCTCTTCCAGTCTGGCCCTCACAAACTAAAGTTCATTAGAGAGGCCCTGTAAATGTCAGGGAGAGAATATATGTACTAACATGTAGGGAATGTTCTGGAAATCATGACCATGTACCTGAATCTGTAACTGTCTACATCTCAGGAAGTAGGTACATGTCTTCACTTCACACTGAGATAGTAAATAACAGAATTTTAAAAGTAACTCTGATACTTTCCAGGAGAAAAACACAAGGCTAATTTGGTAGGGTAAATGCTAAATCTAAAGTACGTAGTACATGATACAAGTCTCTGGATAATGAACCTGACCACGGCACTTGACCCAATCTTTCCAAGTGGATGCAATGTCTCTTTCTCAGACAGCCACAATCACTGAAGGAGCCTATTAGGTTCCTTCCTCTGATGATAACCAGACTTGAACATTTGTTTTCTGTAGGTTTTGTGACTGAGCTTCATACTTCTATTTATTCTAGAACCCTTTTCTAAGTTGGTTTTAAAACAAAACATCACTCCAAGCTGTGCATCTCTTTCAGCAAGACTGGCAGAGAAGAACAATATTAAGAGAAAACCAGACCACACATGTGACCCTCAGACAGGAACACAGGACCTACTTGTTCCCCAGATGTACTGGCACTGGTTATCCCGGGTCTTGCACTCCCCATTGTAGCAGCGGCCCTGAGGCAAGAGGACACACGTTACGAGGCACATGGAGCCAGTGCTGTTTTCCACAACATTTCACTGTAAGGTCTTCTTTTAGTTGTCTTGATAAGCTCTTTTTTCTTTTTTTTTAAATTCCATACCCTAATATTTTCATAGTGACCAAATAGAATCACATACATCTTAAGAGATGCATGAATAACGGACAGTTAAAATTTAAACTCAGAACACTGGCCTCATAGGACAGTGCTTTAAATCCAAACTAAAAACCAAAAAACTCATTGCCATCAATTCTGACTCAGCGCAGCCTTACAGGACAGAGTAGAATTGCCCCACAGGATTTCTAACGCTGTAAATCTTTATGGAAGCAGACTGCTACATCTTTCTTCCATGCAGCGGCTGGTAGGTTCAAACTGCCAACCTTTTGCTTAGCAGCTGAATACTTAACTACTCCACCACCAACGCTCCTTAAATCCAAACTAGCCATGTAAATTTTCGAATTTTATGGAAAGCAAAAAATTGGTACATTTCCTTCGGTGATATCGTTATGATTTTTATCTTCTCTCCTGTGGGACTGGCTGGGCTATAACATGGCTTCAAAAAAAACAAAAACAAATAAACAAAACCCCCACATTCGCCTATAATTGAGAACACGTTGAAATTATTAGATGGTCACAGCTCAATAAATTGGGTTCCTACCTCTTTAGTCATTACCTTTTTCTCCTTTCCTACAGTTTCATCTGAACAATTTATCATCAGAGTTAAACATCATAGAGTTAGTATTTGGTTTGGCATGAAGCAACTTTGAATTAGAACACCACTGTGATAACTGTTGCTTGAGTTGCAATCTCCCTTCAAAGCCACATTTATCAAAAAAAAGAAAAAAACCTTTCAAACGAATCCTTTTTTTAAAATTTTGTTTGTTTTTTTATTGTCATGGTTTAAATGAAGTTTACATTTCAAGTTAGTTTCCCATACAAAAATTTATACATACATTGTTACATGACCCTAATTGCTCACCCCAGACTGTGACAGCACACTTCTCCTTTCCACCCCTGATTCCCCATGTCCATTCAGCCACCTCCTAGCCCTCTCTGCCTTCCCATCTCACCTCCAGACTAAAAGGAATCCGTTTAAAATTACATTTAAAACTTAAAGATCAGCATACCTGATTTTGATTGCATGCGTATCCATCTTGCTTGTGAAGATTTGGTGGGCACTGAAAAATACAACCTTTTTAGTAAATGTTCAACATATTAATTACCTTTGGATAGTGTGCATAATGTGATATAAAAAAGGTAAAAAATGCCAGAATGATAAATATTTCACAGGGAACACTTTAAAAAATAGTGTAACTCCTAAGGAGGTTACCTAACGTAATTCTATTATTGCTAAAAATAAATAAATAAATAAATGAGGTCCATGCAGTGGATGCTTTTTATGTTTCTCTGTTTACCATGAGGTGGTCTAGAATAACAAATTAAATTCACTTGCCTACAGAGTTACAAGTAGAAAAGATTAAAATGGACAATGAAAGAAAAGAATCACTTGTTATGTAGGAGTGGACACATTCAAGAACTAATTTATAAGACCTTGCTCAGCTCAGTGAAAATGTCAATTCTGAATTGACACCCAGGACACTCACCTATAGTGTCTTTACTACATCTACCTTATTGAAAAAGAACTATCGATCCCGTCTTTCAACTTAATGTAAGTGCTGAATCTCCATTCCCTTTCTGATGTCTCAAACCGCAGACTTGTTACTAGAACAATTTGTGGCTGATGGTTATTTCTTTTTATAGGTCTATTTATCAAATCATGTTTTAAAAGCACACTTCATTTTCCCCAAAAGTTACCCTGAATAAGTTGAAATTTTTATTCTGACCATGCACTTTATTTACCACATTTAAGAGAGCTGAAAAAAGATGAAGTCAATGGCTCTGCTACAGTGTTAAAAGCAGGTGTGACAAGTGAATAAGAAACATAGTTACATGTACCGAACTCCTCCTAAGTCTTCACCTTCTTAGCAAATGACAGTTTCACCCTTCCAATTGTTCAGGCCAAAACCTTGCAGTCATCCTTGAGTTCTCTCTTTCTCTCACACTCTCCCCCTCCATTCAGTCTGTCAACAAATCCTGTCAGTTCTACCTTCAAAATAAATTCACAATCCAACCCCGAGACTATGGCCCCCAGACACCACTTTAACTCAGTACTGAAGTTATACCTGAGGTCCAACTTTAAGCCAGAGATTAGACAGGCTCATAAAACAAAATGACACTAAAGGGGCACACCAGCCCAGGGGCAAGGACGAGAAGGCAGCAGGGGACAGGAAAGCTGCTAATGGGGAACAGGAGATCGAGAAGGGGAGAGTGTTGACACATCGTGGGGTTGGCAACCAATGTTACAAAACAATATGTGTATTAATTGTTTAATGAGAAACTAATTTGCTTTATAAAACTTCATCTAAATCACAATAAAAATTAAAAAAAAATTCACAATCTGAACACTTATCACCTCTCCACTGCTAACACCCTGTCCAAGCCCCCGTTATCACTCACCTGGATTACCACAGTAGCCTCCTCACTGATTCCCTTGCTTCCTCCCTACTTCCCTACAGTCTACACAGCTACCACAGGGATCCCTTTGAAAACATAAATCAGATCATCTTACTCCTCTGCTCACAACTCCCCAGTGGTTTCCCATTTTATCCAATGGCTGAAAAATTCTATGTGGTCTGCTTCCACCCACCTCACTCCATCATCTTTCCAATCTCATTTCCTACTCTCTTCCTCGGTTCATCTGTCTCCATGTGAACATGCCCATGATCTTTGCCCTCGCTCTTCCTTCAGTCCAGAAAGATCTTCCCCGCAGGTTTCTGCATGACTCACTCCCTTACCTCTTTCAGGTCTTTGCTCAAATACCATCATCTCCAGGAGGCCTTCTGGAACCATGCTCTTCAAAACCAAAACCCCCTCCCACGCTGACATTCTCTGCACCTCCATTCTGTTTTCTTTCTTTTCCACCGCGCTTATCAACAACTGAGTTTATGTATTTTACTTGTTTATTTATTGTGTCCCTATTTTAATGTGACCTCCATGCAGGCAGGGATTTTATATATATTTTTTGCCTACTTTCCCCTAGCACCTAGAACAGTGCTGGGTGCATGGCTGGTGCTCAATTCCTACTGGCTGACTGAGAAAATAAATAAATGAACTATACAGATACAATCAGGTTATTCTATGCATATCAAGCTGTTTATCAAGTTCACTGGAGAGAGATAAACTAATTTAGGATTGTAGGAAGCACTAACTTACAATGGAACACTTCAGGATGAGATGCTTTGGCTCTACATCATTCTAATGAATAACTGATTTCTCATACAAGCTTTCAGTCACCAGTTTTTCATTCAACTTGATGTGTATTCAAAGATATAACTGTCAGCACAAAAACCTGGAAGTACTGTGCCAACTACACAAAGACAGAGATCCCTGTGGCCTCTTGCATCAGAATCCACTCAAAACACAATCATCATCTCATTAAGCAACTAGCATTAATTATTCACTTTCTTGAAAACTAAAGCCTCCACCATGAACAGACATGGAAAAGAAATGCTGCTACCAGAACAGGTACATCAGGTTCTAAAATGAATTTGTCATATTTTACTTTTGTGATGTTTCAAGAAAGAAAAAACTTGTAGAATTCTTTATTAAAAAAAAAAAAAAAAACTATGAAGTGTCACAGCCACGAGAGAGGATTTCTAATCAAGCTGTTTTTAGTTTAGTTTAATAAAAGCCAGTTCTGACAGGGATCACAACAGAGGGTCCTGGACAGAGCTGGAGAAAGATATAGAACAAAATTCTAACTCACAAAAAAATACCAAACTTAGTGGCCTGACAGAGACTGGAGAAACCCTGTGAGTATGGCCCCCAGACACCCTGTTAGCTCAGTGATAAAGTCACTCCCCAGGTTCAACCTTCAGCCAAAGATTAGACAGCCCCATAAAACAAAATGAGACTAATGGGGCACAGCAGTCGAGGGACAAGGACTAGAAGGCAGGAGGGGACAGGAAAGCTGGTAATAGGGAACCCAAGGTCGAGAAGGGAGAGTGTTGACATGTCTTGGGGTTGTTAACCAATGTCATAAAACAATATGTGTACTAACTGTTTAATGAGAAACTATTTGTTCTATAAACTTCCATGTAAAGTACAATTTTTAAAAAGTAAAATAAATAAATAAAAGCCAGTTGCTTGTCACTGGAATGTTTAACAAGGGAAATCATGGAAGGTCTTGCGTTCTTTGAAGACTTTTAAAACAGAAGTGTACTTTATTCTGCCTGTACTTTATTCTGAATTCAGCCTCTAAATGCCGAACCATCGTCCCAGATGGTTCACTTGAGGCAGGCTGCAACAGTGCAACAGCGGTTAAATGTGCTTATTTTAAATTGTGTTACACCATCCATTTAGGTGACATATCTTATAGCGCTGACACAAAACATCTCCACATCTTTCCAAAAATATCTTTACTGTATTGTCCAATACGATCTGCCAAGGATGTCTCCCAATTGCACAAGTTTTTGGTTTTATTCTGTTATAAATTATGGATTTAAAAAGTAGCTCAGAGGCATCAGTAAATTCTAATATCAAAATCAAGCCAAAGCATACTGATGAGATAAAGTCATAATGTTGCCTGTAGATGCTGATTCTAGGAGATGCAGAGATTCTCAGTGATCCCGCTTTTCAAATCATTGTTAGTATTCATTAAATTCAAAGTTCACTGTCTCTTAGAGAGTAAAAGACTATTTGGAATAGGGGGTTAGCTCCTTCTATTCCAACTATCTATTTCAGGTTAATTCTACCCACATTAAGAAAATTGTTAATAAAAGAATATGCTATTCCAATACGCCACTGTGAAATTAATTTAACAGTACAATTTTCACATTAGACACAGAAGATATAAGGAAGAACTTCCTTTTTATTTAGACTATAGAATGTTAGCTGGAACATAGAGTATGTATTACAAAAGCACCATTTCCAGTAAATTCTAGGGCAATTGATGAATTAAAAGTTGAAATGGAAAAACTATACTGAACACACAGAACCAAAACCATATATGATGGGTATTAAAATAGGGGTAGTCTACAAAACTAAAAATATAACTCTGTGAAGCAGTATATATCAGGATTTTCAATACCTTTGTCATTAAATATAGAACCCACAATTCTTATACTGTCACTACATTATAGAAAAAATGCAAAGAAATCTATATTTAAATGTAAGAAACAGATGTGCCTAAAAAAATCACAAAAGAATATCCTGAACATATTTAACTACCTCATATCCTTAAATAGGTCTATTTAAATTAAGCCTCAGAAAATACGTATCAAGAACTTTCGAAAAGTTGACTGGGAACCTTTCTTTCTCTCTCTCCCCATGTTACCTTTCAGTGAAGAGAACTCATTTGGTGTAACTCTGCCTACTCTCTGCTCCATTACTTACTTCCAGCTCAGGGAGGTGGATGATTGATTGTTAAGCTTGAGAGGAATAACTGGGCATTCTGGCTCAATTCTGCCGTTCTTCTCTTGGGAGCAAGTCTACCTATCCACATACGGCACGCATTCTCTACTACTTCTCCACACCACACACCCTGCAAGGGCCCCCCTCTGCAGGAAGAGGTTGTTCTGACCCAATTTGTCAGTAACGCTTTGTTATAGACAGAATCTGGGAATCCATAAAGCAGCCCATTTGGCCTCATACTAAGCATGGCCTTGAACTTGGGCATTTTAATAATCAAAGTGGTACTTTGACCTCCAACTTTACTCTCTTTATTGGGAGCCCTTTGGAAACCACAATATCTGGCAATAGGTAATCCTACTCCTAGGAATTTATCCCAATGAACTAACCCTGAACAAAGAACAGTTTTTAGAAGTGTACCAAAATGCTCACTGTCATATTAATTATAATAGTGAAAAACTGCCAACAATCTAAATATTCAGCACTGGGTATAGAAGTCAAATTGATATAGCCACATGATAGACTCTCACGCAGTCATAAAAAGGATATTTATAAAGACTGTAATCACATGGGGAAATGCTTTCGAGTAATGTTAGAATGAAAATACAAGCAGGATAATACCCAAAATTCTTACCATGGCCTACAAGTCCCTCCTGCCCTGCTTTCTGCCTTCCTCGAGTCGTTTCCAGCTACCCTTGCTTTCATTCTATTTCTTGAATAAGCCAAGCCTCTGCACTCACTATTTTCTGACTGGCTCCTTCTCATTCGTGTCTCTACTTAAATGCTACATCTCTGGGAGGATGTACCTAAAGGCCCCACCTACACTCTTTTCATACCACCCTATTTTATGTTTAGCACTTATCACAATCTGCTATTTTTGTTTACACCCAGCAGAATGTAAGCTCCGTGAGACCAACGACTTGCCTATCTTGTTCACTACTATATCCCAGCATTCATAGTACAGGTAGTCCCGGACTTAGACGTATTCAAGTTACAACAAACCGCACTTAGGGCAGTCCGTTTTTTGTACATCTTATCATTAGTAATATGTACTATATACAATGTTGCAGCGCATAATTTGCTGATGTTATCATTCTCAGATGTTTACTTGCAGATGTTCAATGTTATGATTTACAGTCAAAGGATTAGTTGAAGTTTTTTCTAAACTAAATCAGGGGCTTCAGTTGCTTGAAAACATGGACCCAAATGCTGATTGCTTTGCTAAAGTTAGTAGGCAGATTCGAGAAGCAGTGAAATGTTACTTCGAAATATATGAAGAAAAAAAGAAAAGGACCATACAGGCAACTCTCACTAATTTTCTAACTAGAAATGCTATCCCCATTCCCAGGAATAATCCAGATGATCCAGAACTTTCCACAGGTGGAGTTATTACAACTGACAAAATGCCGACATTGTCCAACTCCTCTTCATCGTTAATTTTGTATTTTTTTATGTATGTATGTATGTGTTAAAATATATCTGTAAGTTTATATGTAGTGTTTCTAATCCCAAAGACAAATAAAGATAGGATTTATAAAGTTTCCAATAATAAAAAGCAATAATAATGAAAACTAAAAAAAAAGATATTCGACTTACATCAGAAATGACTTACAACAGAGTCATCAGAACAGAACCTTATTCTAAGTCGGGGACTACCTGTAGTGGTTAACAATAGTAGGCCCTCAACAAACGTTTTTAAGTATTTATCTGAGTGACAAAGACTTAAAATAATATTATATAATTAAAAAACATAAAAATTATGTAAAGACATGATGCTGGAAGAAAACATTGCTTACGTTATAATACAAAACCAAAGCATAGAGGCCTCTGAAGCGAGGGCTGTGTACGTGGGGAGAAGGTGGTGGCAGAAAGTCTGAGGAAGGTGGACTTCTGCTCCCAATACCGTTTCAACCAGAACAGTGCTGCTTCTTCCCTGTTTTCTACATTGAATTTCCATTCAAAATTTTGTTTAAAGAAAGGAGTTTGTGGATTAAAATTTTTTGAAGACAGTACATTAGTGCTTCATCAGCACGAACACACTGTTTTAGACATGGGGACCAGGAAAGAAAAAAAGAGTTCACTGTATATAAATCAAATAACAAGAGCTAACTATGAACGGAAAATTTGGAAAAAGAGATTTACGTCCAAAATAAAAAATAAATAAACTTTCCAAAAATAAAAGCATGATGAAAGCTAGAAAGTACTAGAAGACAAAGCAAAACAAAATGAAATACAAAAGGAAACAAAGCATATTCATAGATGTAATATATATTGAAAGCTTTAGAATGTGTATTTACAAGTAAAATGCATTACCTAACTCTCAGTTTGCCATACCTGGCCAGAGTCTCCGGTACAATATTCGGTAATATCACACCCATTCACAGCATCCCGACATTCGTACCCTCGTGGTTGAAACTGCAAATCAAAAGTCATTAGTTACGGGCTAGTACTGATATTCCAAGCAGTTAGCATTCTTATATTCGCCAATATAATCCTCATATTCTCCCAAAATCATCACCAAATTCTTTTTATGAGTTAGCAAGATAGTTGCAGAATATGAACAGGCCCAGATGTCACCCTCTGTACTAAATATGAATCATCAATCAAGGCATTAAATGTTCAGGCTTCAAAACTGTCTCAGAATATTATTTTTCAAAAAAAACACAGGCAATTATGTAAAGAAGAAACACTGGTTTGGCTTACAAAAAAATAATAAAATATCATAATACAAATATTTAAGATCTCTCTAAAGATTGATGTTCCCATCCAACCTTGACTAATTTGCACAGTATCATGGATATTGATCTTGCCTCTGCTAAATATCCAAAATCAAATTTTAATGAAATCATATGAATTACCTAAGTCATATCAATGAATGCCCACTGTGTACAAGGCATTTTGTTTGTCTGGGTAGCAGGGACATAAAAGATGAGGAAACAGCCCATTACCCTCAAGCAGTTTATAATTTGGTAGGATACATAAGGCAAGTACAGCCTAAGCTAAACTCTTCTAGAATACCATAATGCATAACACCTTTTGGTATTGAAGAAAATAATAAAATCATGTAATTTTATGGTTATAAGAAATACTAGATGTTTTATAGATAAGAAAATAGAGGCTTAAAAAGATGACTTTTTAAAAATTAACTGGAGGCCTCTGTAGATGGCGGTAACTCTGTGTGTCTGCATACACATAAACTGTGTACTGGTTGCTCTTAGTTGCTGTCAAGTCAATTCTGACTTATGACAACCCCATGTGTTACAGAGTGAACTGTTCCTTAGGGTTTTCTTGGCTATAATCTTAGTGAAAGCAGATTGCGAGGCCTTTTTTCCATGGTACCACTGAATGGGTTTGAACCACCAATCTTTAGGCTTGCAGTCGAGCACTAAATGTTTGCATCACCTAGGATTCTAAACTGTATATATACACATATAAACGTACATATATATTACTTCCTCATCTAGAATCCCTGCTTTTATGGGGAACTTAAAAAGCTAAATATGAGCACTAGTTTTTATGTGCAAGGAGCCCTGGTGGCACAATGGTTAAGCACTCTGCTGCTAACTGAAATGTTGCTGGTTCAAACCCACCAGCCACTCAATGGGAGAAAAGACCTGGCGATCTTCTCCTGTAAAGATTTACAGCCTAGGAAACCCTATGGGGCAGTTCTACTCTGTGCTATAGGGTTGCTATGAGTCAGAATTGACTAGACAGCACACAACAACAACAGTTTTTATCCTCAGGGTCTAAAATATTAGGGTAAATCTTAAAAGATTTGGGAGTAGCTCACATTATAAAAAAGACCACAGGAATTGTCCCTCTCCTATTCAACAATTTAATTTGGTCTTCATCGGTGTCAGTAGGGCAACTCAATGTTTATTTCAGAAGTGATCTATAGGTATATTTTCTTAAGGAGTCATTGGAGGATAAGGGTACAGGATGGTTAATAGTAAATAACGGTAAAAGCAAATGTTGTGACACAGAATTTGGGTGGACTTACTGATTCTACAAAATTGCCAGGCTGGTACCACACTGTCAACCAACAAGTTTGTGACACACTACACAATTGTTTATGCATTGAGATGTTTGGCTAATCAGGCAAGTGAAAGAAAGATGAAAGTGTGTCAAGCAACTTACAAGACATGAGGTATTGTTACAGCAGGGCCCGTCACTGCAGTGGGCCCCATTGGAGAGGGAGCATTTCTTACAGCACAATCCGTAGCATTCCTAAAGAAAACACTTCACGTGAGTAAACAAGGAATCTTTCCTGTTGGTCAGTCAACATTCTCTCCACACATGACTTATGCATAATTTAAATAAGGAGACTTATATTACAACAGTAAGCAATATTTTCGGAAAGAATCAATCATTTAAATAATGATAAGTCTTTTCTGTAATGTTTCTCAGCAAAGTATGATCTTCTATGAAAGGGCTTCCCTAACAATGACTAGGCTTCTTTCTTAGCAGACATCCCACCCCTGATTAGTTCTACTTTACTAAATTCTTACTACTCAATCTAGTTTTATAAAGAAAAATAATACACAACATGTCAAGAATGTTTCATGATTTGGTAAAACTTGTCTGAGATGACTATGAGCTACAAAAATTTTAAGATGTAGGGAATTTGATTAGAAGGATCCATTAGGTTTTTTCAGACGAGGCCCTAAGTGACTAATTCTAATGTGTCTGAGCTAGGATTAAGCAATAATGAGAGAGATCAGAAAGGCAGTAAGACCACAGTAAATGATACCATGGGGGCCTCTCACTATTGCTATTCTTGTTTGTTCTGGGTAAGAGCTATACTGAAGGTAGAAGAAGCCTCTTATACCTACCACATGGAAGCCACAATCACATTCCTCCCCAGGTTCTACATAGCCATTTCCACACTCAGTGGGCTCAAACAGCTGAAAGAAATTAGGGATGGAAAGGAGAAACGTTTTCATTTATCACAGAAAATCAATACACCACCCCGGCCACGGACATGGTCCTATAATCAGCTACCATAGGCTATTCTTATGTGATCTGTTGTCATGGCATCTTATAAATGGTATCTGTTTGGGAAACGCTGTTCATTTATTAATAACACTTCTAAAAACTTCTTAAAAACGTATTTGAAATGGGGTAATATCTCTTGGGAAATTCTCTGGCAGTAGGCTCCAGAGACTACCTCTAGCACTAGAGTTACTTTTTATGGAGATAAGCTGTCAAGAGAAATAGATCACTTTTCATATTTGCTAATGGAGCTAAAATGTATTGCTAATAAAGACTCACAGACATCTAATTTGCTGACTCGTCTCAAGGCAGCTGAGAAGATATCAAAATTATTAAAAAGATAAATATGCTGTAGTCACAGCCAAATGTGACATATACAACCAAGTAAAGGCAAATAAATTTGTGGCTGGTAATCCATGCCCATCATTCTCACTGAATAGAAATATGCACTGTCTGAAGCATATTAAGTAAATGTGCAGATATATGCTTGGATGTATAGAAATCTCTCAGTCACTCATGGACCAATGGTAGAGTCAAATTTCTTGAATAAGCCATCATACAGGTGCTATGAACTTGCTTGCCTGGTAAACTGTATTACAGACCGATTGTTGAGGCAGTTGATTGTTCATGAGAACCATTCCTATTTCCCATTACCTAGGAAACCACCACACCTAAATGAAAACTGGAATAGCACATCCCAACCCAAATGCTCCAAGTCACAAACAGGAGAGGGAGAAAGAGATTCCTTCCCCAGCAGCAGTACACATCTCAAGGGAGGGTTGCCTTCCACCAAGTCTGCCTAAGAAAGACCTGGTTCTCCTTCCACTTTCAGGAAGGAAAAATTATCATAGGAAGCAAGAAAGATTTCCAAATTACTTCGGTAGGATCTTCTCTGGGAGAGTTCAGTGAGTTAAATCAACCGTCCAAACCTCTATGGATGGTATTCTGATCAGCAGGCAGAAAATGGAAAAGAGTTGGGGCAGGGGGGAACAAACTGGAATAGGAGTAGTGCGTTCTATCAAGTCATATGTAACCAATGCTAAGTTTCATTCTTAGGACAACTCTTCCTCCATTTTGAGGCGGATAACTGTCTTAAATCAAATGGAAAACATGGCAGTTGGGAAGGTTCCCAAAGCACAGAAAATATGCACATAGATAGTGTGGGAATAATACATAACACATACATACATATATACAGTGATTAAAAACCTTGAAAAAAATCTTTGATATATACATATAAACTATGCCACTGGAATTCATAGGTTTTTAAACCACTGTAATATGTAGTTTAAGTAGAAAAAATAAGTCCATATTTACTATTTTTTCAAATTAGAGATGTATAGTTATTTTATTTAGTTTCCAGATTATTGGAATAATTTTCTTCCTACTTACCAGCAGCTTCAGAAATCTAATGATGGATCTTACACACACACTAGAAACCTTAACCTCTCCAAACAACTCAGTGCTGTTTCCTCAGGCATAATGCTTATAATTAGCTGGTAAGCTGCACGGTAGGTAAAATTAGCCATGCGCACCGCAATTCAAAAATGCCAGCAGCTCACATTAGTTCATTATTACTTATTTCGACGATTTTAAACACTATGAAGCTTTCAGGATTCTGCTGCATTGAGATCAACGCCATGAAAGGCAGGCAGACCCGTTTAATGATGCAAGGTCACTTTAAAATTTCTGCTTCTTTTTCTGCACCCTTACTGAGATTTTATACAGATGTTAGGTATCAACCTACCATCTCCTAACTACAGTAGTATCACTTAATTATGGGTATAGAAATAATTATTCTGTCAGTTATCCACATTAATCACTAATTTTTTTACATGCTAACAATTTTACTGGCCTCTCAATTTGCAGACTATCAACCATTTTATAAAGCCATGAATTATATTTGATTTACAAAGTCATGTTTTAAAAAGAAACATGATATTTGCATATGCAATGTCAGAACTTCTATACTATCCTGTCTTTTTGCCTGTTGAACAACTTCGTTCCCAAACATAATATCATAGGTCTGCAGCCACTTATCCAAAAAATTTACACCTGATAAGTTTCAGAATGCTGGTTTTGCTGGATTTAGAAAAGTACAATGCATTTACCATGAGGCTATACCAAACACATGAATGTTTCTATAATAAAATACTTTCATCTTTCTGCAGTAGACTTGTGAATTTTCATACTATGAGGGATGAATAAACATTTTCAAGTTCAGGAGAAGTTTTACTGCCAAAAGTGTTTCCTGTAAACTTATGAAAAATACTTCCAATTTTCAGAGCTTCTTGAATTACAGAACTGTGGACAGAAATTGGGGGACTATGTATACTAATGTTGATGAAATGTCAATTGACAACATGGAACTCCCCTGGTAAAGAGACTACATAATATAAATGCATCCATGCCTTTGTGGCATCTGAAAATATTTTGGGTCATTTCTTGGCTAGCTGATACCAGTAACGATTCCTGCCTGTAAGAACAGACCACGCTTAAACTAAAACAAACAAACAAACAACAACAACAACAAAAAAGAAAAAAAAGCCAAGAAATTAGTAGTTAGTCCCCTCAAGAGAACGTTAAGGGGACACGGAAACTGGTTAAAAGATTTGGTCTTAATTTAACCCACTATCACTTAGACATGGTGTAAAACCCTAACATGAAATTTTCAAAGATATCTTAATTAAATGCTTATTTGTTTGTTTGGATGGGGAAGGGTTTGAGGGGTTTGGCTAGCACTAAAAAATCAAAGATTCAGAACATTCAAACACATTCAAACTAAGGTTTGTCATTCGTTCAAACTCGACTTACTCTGTAACACGATAAAGCCTTTTACAAATAAATATTAAGCCGATTGGCAAGAAACCTGCTTTCCAAGACAAGAATCTGATATTTGGCACTGTCTACTGTAAAACACTGGAGAAACAATTATACTTTCTAAGCTGCTAACCTTTGTTGGTCTGTTGAACAGACAGGCTCCACCACCTCTCTGCAGAAAGTCTTTATACTCCAAAATGCTGCACTTTGAGAACTTTCGGGAATGGGATACCCTGAGGAAAGAAATTACATAAATAATTTACCCAAGGCAGTTATCAGAAAATTAAAACCCTTGAACTAGTACAAAGTGTTCACTCTGAATCCCGATGAATCTATACAAATTACTACAAAGGATTTATGTTCAAATTGCCAAATAAATGTATGTGGTAGAGCTTTGTAAAAACAGAAATGCAAAGAAAATCACAGACTTGGGGTATAGGTTATAACCTCGTCAGTCAAGCTGTTCTGTGCACCTGGCTTGACACAGTATATGAAAAACTGATCACAAAAACCTCTTAATCTAGACCATGTTTTAAAATGCAGTAATTTTTATTCACTATGTCTCTGTAAAGGCAACCACTTTCATGCCTCTGCCCTAAATAAAAAGAGCTCATGACCTATTAGATTTTACAGTGGAGGAGGGAGTAATGAGGGTCAACTTATTAAAGAGTATATAATGCAGGCATCAGCATTGCAATTCAGGTAAACAAGGAAGCCCTAACGAGATGTGTTATACGTGTGTATGTGTGTGTGTGTGTATAATGCTTTTAGTATATGTGTGTGTGATATATATTTTCATATACATGTAGATACACATATATATATACACACACACATATATATACTAAAAAATACAATTAAGGTGTGCATCCATGGAGCCCTGGTGGCACAGTGGTTAAGAGCTTGGCTGCTAACCAAAAAGTTGGCAGTTCGAATCCACTAGTCGCTCCTTGGAAACCCTATGGGGCAGTTCTGCTCTGTCCTATAGGGTCACTATGAATCAGAATCAACTCAACGGCAACGGGTTTGTTTGTTGTTTTACCCATGAATAATAGCTCTTTCTTATTCTCATTTTCAAAGTCTATTTGGTGAAATTCACAATTTAGCACAAATACAAAATAAACAGTGATTTTGTGATTCAATTAATAAAATTACTTTCTCTGGGTCAGTACACAGGGGAATATTATACACATGATCAAAGTTAAGCTGAATCAGACATACTGATTCCTTGGGCATATCTGTAATAGTACTTTATAAGAAAGAGACAGGCCACTTATTCTAGGATATAATCCAATAGTTTTATGCATCCTTTTGTATGAGGGTGGTTTATGAAGGCAGACAGAATCTGCCACTGTTGATAGTGATCTCTTATAAGACCTACATATACATGTATATTTGAGAAAATATGTGCTAACTTTAAGTAGTTTTATTACATTCTATTGGTAGTCAGTCCAAAAGTTCATTCAGAAATTGGGGGTGTAGAACACAGAAGGCATCTCCCTATGGAACCAATGTCATAAATGACATTACCTTTACCATAGCAGTCCTCAAAAAAGTCTGTTTAAGCCATAATATTACTAAACTGTGGTACAAGGTTAAGGGGACTATGTTTCAAGTTTAAATTGTATTTCCCTGAAATACAGGTTCTGAAGTTGCAGGGACAGCAGCTGACCCCCTCTCCAAAACCTTGTGCTCACATTCCTCTTCTCCCCTTGAGCTGAGATCCTGTGAGCGCTGGTGCAAGAATAAGTAAGGGACTCTGTTTACACAAGTAGGTTAGGACTTTGGGCAACGGGTATTCATAGGAAAAGGAGTGAGACCAGAAGCGGCCCGGGGTGGGGGGGCAGGGTTCAGGTGGGCAGGTGTCTTGCATAGGCAAAGGATGTAGGAGAGCCACTTGAGTGAGGAAACTGCTCCCATCTACAAGGAGTGGACTCTAGCTAAGAGACCTTGAGGCAGTGGCCCCCATGGGGCAGGGGTCTCTGGGAAAGTGGGCAATGTTTCCAGGCTTTGTTTCAGGGAGACAATGGCAGCTCTGGGGCAGTTGCTCCAGTTCCCAAAGTAGCCACAAAATAAGAGAGTAGACAGGTGAGGGAATTTTAAAATGTCCATCAGTAGAAGACTACCTTATTTAGATACAATAAACATGTCTTAGTAAAAAAAGCTTTATTGATTATGTAAGCAGAATGATATACTTTTATTACTGTAAACATATCTATTTATGTATTTCTTAAAATGTAAATTGATGATTAAATTGATTTTCACAGACTCCTTCAGGTAGACAACCTGCTATTATTCTAAGTGTACTAAAAAATTAATGTCTCTACTAAAGTTAGAAGCATTTAATAATACGCTTCCTTTAAGGGTTAATAAGAAGCAGAAGGAGAGAACACATTTTACTTCTATCATCTACCTTAAATAAGAGATTAAAATATAAAGTGAATTAGCCTTTTCAGTTCTCTAAAATATCAGATAATTAATTATTGAATTTATACTAAGTTCTTAGCCTGAAATACCATTACCTGAGAGACTGTGTATCTAATTATATGCAGCAATTTTAGTGAAAGGCATGTATCAAATTCATGCACAATGAAAATTTACCCCGTTTCCTCCATGATGCAGCCACCCCAGGATTCTGTGCAGTCACATTCTAGTTATGAAACAATAAAAGCAACAGAAGAAAAAAGAAACAACCGTCACATCTTCAATTTGCATTACAGCTCTTGAAATAATTCTTGATCACCAATTCCATGTCAAATAGGTCCAGAAGGTGAAGTCCCACAGAACAAAGTTTGTTTCTTTAAAATCAATATATCTTTTCCTGAATTATACATCACTTTCTAAGAAAACAGCTTGCAAAAAAATAAAACTGTGCCTCTACTTTTGTAACTCAGACAACTCAGTTAAGTTCCTAATTTCAATGTCTAGTGAAAAGTACTTGGTCTCGAAGTCAGAAAGCCTAAATTCTTGTCCAAGTTTTACCATATAAGAGTCCCATAGGCAAGTACCTTAGCATTTCTTGGGTCTCAGTGTTTCCATCTCTAAAATGGTAATAACATCTCTCTATCTCCCACAGTTGTTCTGGGTTTCACACAAGGGTGCGCCTGCACTCCGTGAACTGTAAGCTCTGTTGCACTAGTGCAATGAATCATCATTGAAGTCCTTCTAACAGAGCAGTAGCGTCAGTAGGGTTGGTGTCACCCAGTGTGGTAACTCACTGTGTCACACCCCCCACCCATGGACCTCCTCCAGTAGGAGACCATGCAGAATCCTTAGTAATGTATTCTCTAGTAATGTTACTCAGAAATCATAATTCCTGTATATAACTCCTTCTTTTCCTTTAATCACTACTTCATTCTCAAAAAAATTATTGATATAGGTTCACAAATACTAATTACCACAGTATTGTAGCTAAAAATACCCCAGAAAATTTGACAAAATCAGCGACTGTAAAAACACTGGCAGCAACCAAAACAATAGCACATTTGTAGAGCGTGCAAACAAAACCACGTGATTCAAAGCATCATTGCAATTGGGTAATAACGACAGCTCTGACCGGAGGGCATTAGAAGGTTCAAAAAGTATATTGGCACAGAGTTTTAGCCTTGTAGGTATATTGATACATGTAAGCTGAGCTTACGAAAAATGTTTTTGTTGTTATAAAAAATACTAAATTTCTGCTGAAACACTGCACAAAAACTTTATACACAGTCATTTGGGTGCCACCCCCTCTGACAGTGTCACCCCGTGCAGTCTGCATCCTCTGCACTCCCCTAGGGACACCACTGTGTAACAGAGCACAACAGACGTTAAAGAAGGGAATTCAATTTGCTAGAGTCAAAGCAATGACCGGTCAGAGACTTGAGGAGTACTGAGCTAAATGGTCTGGTAAAAGACAGCAATCTAAAAATGCAAGTAATTATTTGAATTAAACAACAATCGTGAGCCTGACTTAAATACCAGAGACTAAAATATTGATATTGTGATATCTTCTCTTCTTTTATTTTTTCCTATTCTCTTTTCTATCACAGATAAAGATATTTTTAAAGAAAAATTTCCAAATAAATTTACTTAAAGAAATTCAAGAACTAATGAAACACCTACCTAAACAAAGTTCACAAAGGAATAAAACACTTTAGAAAGGAAGGAACTATGCCAGACATTAGTAATGAACCGTATTTCCCATCATCCAGTTCAGAAACCTCTCTCAGCTGACCTCAGCACTGGCTCCCTCCCAGATCTATGATTTTCGAAAAAGTTCATAAACCCAGTTATCCTCCTTTCTGATTTTAAGAAGCCCTGGTGGCACAGTGGTTAAGAGCTTGGCTGCTAACTGAAAGGTCAGTGTCTGAACCCACCAACCACTCCGCAGAAGAAAACTTGGGCAATCTGCTTCCATACAGATTACAGCCTTGGAAATCATATGGGCAGTTTTATTGTGTCCCGTATGGTCGCTATGAGTTGCAGTCGACTCCCTGGCAATGGTTTATGCCAGCTGAGTCTTAAATATCCCCTTAATGTGTACTATGTGTTTTCTTGGGAAAGCAAATATTCGCTTTATTTTTCTACTGGGTGATATCTACGGCCCTGTTTGTACTCCCTCTTCCACCTCTCCCTAGGGGTGGGGTCTTCCTGTAGGAAAGCCTCTCTAGCTTTTCTGATGGAACTAGTTGGCTAATTTTAATTTGAGGTGGGTAGAGGAGGAATACCCTCTTGACCAGAGACGTAAGCCACTTCCCCAAACCAACTGTACCCCTATTAAACTTATGATGGAGCCTCAGCTGGCATCGTGCATCTGCACTCAATCAGTTAAAACCAAGAGGGGTGTGTAGGTGAGTATTCAGCACCCCTAATCCCAACACTCTGCAGTGTGAGAAAGAGCTGACTCATACCCTGAGAAACTGGATGTGAACCACGCCTCCTATTTTACTTTGAAAGGGAAATTTCTAGAACCCAAACAGATTAAGAATTACTTTAAGTTGCTCATTTTATAATTTTTTTTTTTTTAGAGGAAGGAGATACACTACAATTAAACTATAATAACTTAGGAATGAAAAATATTTATTTATTGACTGGACATGCATTATACAGACAGAATGGCACATAAAAGTGAGTAAGAAGGTCAATGTACATACTTGGCTTTCTGCTAGAAGGTTCCCATTGGATTCCAAGGTTTTGAGCCAGGCTCTGCGATAATACTTGTGCCACTGCCATTGGAAGACCATACTGTTTTTCAGAGTTGAAAGTGTGTGGGAAACATTTGAGAGAGTGCACAAAGCTAGTTATTATTTCTTAATTGTTACCACATATCATCTCAGTTCCCTAAGCAGGGCCTCACAGCATCTAAAAATGGAATATACTCTTTATCACTTCTTTCTTGCAACTGGGCCCAAGAAGCTGAAGGCCCCTCTTACTATGTGGCATCTCTCAGAACTTGATGCTCTCACATGGAAACATAAAATACAAGTCCCAAAAGGCTGTGCCCCAATTCAACTCATACTAAGCCAAGAATAAACTCAACTTACTACAAATATATCAAGATAGGTCCCCACTGAATGATGGCTATTGCAATAACCTGGTATTGACCAGCATTTAGAGTTAATGGTTAGGCTTTTTGGCTCCTGTTGACAACTGTTATAAAAAATTTCCTTTAATAAAAATGAAGGTACTGAAAAACCAAACAATGAAATTAAGGAAATACTTGTTTCAGTTGATTCACAGATAGAAGGGTAGAGGATAAAAATTACATAGGGAGAAAAGAAAGATACTAATTGGATATACTTATAGACTCTTTGGTTTAGATGAGTCAAACCTAACAAGGACAGAAGAGCATCATAACTGAAGAAAAAAAGTTATAAGGGAAAAATTAAAAAACTTATAAAAACTTAACTCCCTATCTATAGAGGCCTAAAAATCTCTGGGCCAATCTATGGCTTGCATTTGCCTGGTAAATATGAAAAAGTAGCATTATGGATTGAAATTATACCTTTTTTCTAATACCAAAGACCACTTTGGGTTCTATTTGCTAATATAAACCACTCATGCTATGTTCTCGAAATCAGTATTACTCTGAGCAAGTATGAGAAGGGCAGTAAACTAGGTCATAGGGGAGGAAGAAATCAGATGCAAAGATAAAGCTCTACTTTAAGAAAATTGAAAAAGTTTACCTCATTCACACCAACTCCTCTTGTGTGAGAACAGACACCTCCAAAGTAACTCAGACTGCTTCTCTTATAGTGAAATGTCACACGCCTTAAGAAAAAAAAAAGTGCTCTTAGGAAACCAATGTGGTAACATCATATAAACTCTCCCAAAACATGGGGTAAGTCTACCCTCCTACAATGAACATGCCAAATCCATCCTCCTTCAAAAAATTGAAAATTTTAAATACCTTTTGATTTATGTTGTCAGAACAATTTCAGTGAGCAAACGTTAACTGAGCACCCGCTAAGCCCCACACATTAGGCCAGAAATTGAGGACACAAAGATAAGCAGAAGACAGACCTTGCCCTTTTTCTAGCAGACAATGTCCAGTAGTATAATATTGCTGATTATTGTAAGTTTCCAATTATATACTGAGAGAAGAGAAAGAAAAGAGTAAAGGTAAGATGGAAGGAAGGATGACTCTGGCTGGCTTGATTCTAAGACAGAACCATGACTGGGAAAGGAACGGCTTAGATCAAAAGGAAAATATGGTACCCTTTTTCCTTAGTGATAGAACCTCAACTTTCTTCACTGGTCCATCTAAAAAGACATTCCCTAGACACTCTTGAAGCTGCATGTGGCCATATAACTAAGGTCTAGCCAATAATTTGTCTGTGTAATTGTTGTGCACATCCTTCAGGAAAGCTGTTTTAAGGGAGCTGACTCAGCAGGAAGGGAGTGCCCTTTTATCCTCCTCCCTGCCTGTCATTCCTGCTGCCTGTAAAGACGTGATTGCTGGAGTGCCAGCAGCCATCTTGAGTCATGAGTTGACTGTGAGGATGGAAGGTATGTGCTCTGAAGGCAAAGCTTATGACTATGGAACCACCATTCCAGCACCAGACATTCTACCTCCATGTTTCTTCTATAACAGAGAGAAGAATAACATCAATCTTGTTCAAATCATTGTTTTCCGATGTGTAACTTAACTGATACCATAAAGAGATAAAGGTAAATGCCAAACTAAAGGCCACAATAAAACTTAAACAGATACATACGAGATGAGGTGCACAGCATCAGCATGCTGCTTGATGCGCTGTCGGTACTTGGAGAACTCATGGAGCATCTGCACAGGGTTGGTGGTGATGTCAATGTGATCCTTCTCAGTCCAGGTCTCTACCGCCACTAAGACAACCCTGGTATTGAGCTGCTCCTTGTAAATCTGAGGGTATACAACAGGACAGGTGCAGGAGGAAAACACTGGGTCAAACATTCACGATCAGTGAGTCAGAGTCAGTGGAAGGACAGGAAAGGGGAGGTGAGAGGAGAACATGGGGTCATAATTAGCTCATCAAAGAGAATCTTCTTTCTCTTTTCCAAGAGCATGCATAAGTAGATAAATATCAAAGGGGATTTGGCCTCATGTCACCTACTCTCCCACAAAGTAATTTCAATCCCAAATCAGCACATCTAGTGCCATGGCACCTCACTAGGGGGTAGATTCTAAAGTCAGGGCATAAACGGAAAACAAGATGTAGTAAAATCACGCTTCCAAACCTCATAGGAAGGTACCAGGCTGGAGTCTGATACATTAACTCTGAGTAAGTGTAATACCATTAGCTTTTACTGCAGGATTGGAATGGCTCACTAACTCTTCAGACAAGCATCAAGCAATATGGCTTGCTTGCCTGTGGAGGCTGCGTTATATGAAAAGTAAAAGTAAAATAATACTGGGAGAAAATCACAGATCTGAGGCCAAAAGAGGGAACAGTAGATATCCATCGCCCATCTGACCCTCATCACAGGGTAAAAGCATCCACACCATTAAATTGCAATCTTTTGCTCGCCTTCTCTAGTTTTGGCCACATAGCTAAATAATTCACATAACTAAGCAACTTCAATGAATATTGTCATTTTGTTCTATTTTCAGACTAAGAAAACAATGGATGATCTTTTAAGACACTGAAGAACGAGACTAGCACCATGCCTAAGTCAGTCTGAAGCTAAAATGGCTTCACAGCAAAGAGCAAGTTAAATGCAATGTCTTAAAAATTAGTATTAGTCAGCTTCAGCACCTCATATAGTAATCGAAAATAAAAATTACACTCTGCAAGATGTAATTCTGCTCAATCATGCCAAAATGATTAACACAGACATGCTACCAAGTAAACAGCTTTTGCATGGGAAAAAAAATGTGTCTAATATTCTTTTTTCCATATTCATTTACAGTTTTCTTTTGAGAAGACTGACAAAAAAATTCGAAGAAATTAATGAAATTTATTGTATGAAAGAAAATAAATAAACCAAACCTAAACTGGCTCTAAGAGGTGCAAGCACAACTTAATAAATTACTCTGTGCCCATCCATCCATATTGTATTTATGCTCAGCTCTGCCTACCAGATATTATCTGAGTATTTCTATGATTGGAGGTCTTTGGACTGTTTAGAAGGCAGCTCTTCAGAGAAAATAAATATAATATAGATGATTGTAATTTGTAATTAAAAAGTGTTTTTTCCAGTTAGGAGAGAACATACAATAAAAATCATGTAAAAATTATTTAGTTGAACAAAATAACACTTTAAAATACATAAACAAGTATGTTATGTTTAATTTCTAACTATTTAATATGAATTATTTCTTGAAACGTAATGCATAACATTCATATCTATGGAGTTCCTACCTAAAGCAAGGAAAATACAGAAAATCTTAACCATTATTATCTGCAACTTATAAAATGATGGGGAGATATATCAATATTATAGACTTGAGGAGTTAGAAGCCTTTTTAAGAGATATATCTGCTTCCAATTAGTTTTATTTTGGAACTACACTTAATTCTGTTACCTAGAAACAAAGTCTGAAACATTCTACTTATGGGAACACTAGGAAATAAAATTTTTTTCCTTTAAACATCTTTCTTCTATTAGCTGTATCCTCCAAGCATACCTCCCTTTAATCTATCATTCCTTCTCTGCTAACATTTATTATTTAGGACGATAAATTCAACTGGTTATTATTAACAAGGCTCATTTCCCAAGTGTAATTTATGCTCTTTTTGGTAGCTAATTTTCTACAATGTTTTTGTCCTGCATACACTCGTGACCATCAGATCTAGACATCAGGTAGATACAACGCTAATGTATGTTTGGGATTCTGAGAATGACTCAACAGCCCCTTAAAACTCTGGTAGTACTATTTTTTTTTTCTGCCTATATTGTTCATTTGCTTGCTTGTCGATTTTTTTTTAATGGAAAGTTTATTTGCACAGTATACCAAATAGGATGCAACAAGCACTGTCGTAACAAATGTACGAACATGCAAATCAACATAAAACAGTAATTTAGTTTAAATAAAGGAAATCTCTTTATATGTTATGACAACATACTTCCAAGAAGAATCTTTTTTTCAGTTAATTACACATTTCAATAAAATAAAAGGTAATAGATTAAGTGGAAGTTATTTTATGAATTAACCTTACAAATAAAACTCCTACTCGATTAACCCATGCCAGTGAAACACTACAGACAAAATTTCAAATACGTGCAAACGGAGATGAGAGATTTACTTTTTTGTTTGAAAAGACCGGAAAAAATCGGTTATTACAAATACAGTAGGCAAACTGTTTGACTGACTGATCTAGAACACAGTGCTATATTGAATTTCAGTCTCAAACTGCTAAATGCTCATCATTAGTATGACACATTTTGGTCCATGATGTAGTTTAGTGCCAAGACAGATTCTGATTTGCTACAGAAAACATAGATTACAGTTGTTTTTTGTTTGTTTGTGTGTATGTATATATATATATATGTATTAAAGCCAGGTATATTTCCACGTACAAAGGCAAATTGCTCCCAGGAACAATTTACAGAAAGTAGTCTGAGGTGCATGTTGGTAAGATGCTGGAAGTGTTACCACCAGTTTTTTAAATACAGCGAAACCTGTGAGAGCTGGAACTCCACAGGACTGCCTTGTTTTTTCCAGTCACGAAAGTTTTCTGCCTTTGACAGGTTGGTAGCACTATTCTTTATGAAGCAGACAATCTATAATTTTTAGTCAGAGGAGCTTAAGGATTTTATTTCTTCTTTTGCCCAAGAAAATAACTAAAGTAACAAGCAAGCAAATAGAGATGTAAAACATTCCATTTTGGTAAAAATAAGTTTGAGAAAACCAGGATACTTACAGAATCCACAAGGTTGACCACAGACTTAGCAAAGTTGTTAGTGTGGGCATGAGAAGAGCGATACTTCTTATACTAAACAACAAACAAACAGAAAAAGATAATGCGTCACTGCCCAAACATAATTTAACGGTAATTTCCAAAATTCTGTAAAAGCAGCAATCTCATTGCAAAAGGAGAAATGGGGATTAAAAATAAAGAAATTTAGTTTGTGCCATGTTGGAATAAGATTGTGTTCTTATTTTGCTTCTCTGTTCGGACACAAAACTCTGACTACGGAAAATACCCGCGATAATCTGGGTAACGAACAGGGCCTGTAGAAATCTGTGTAAGAAGCTCTATATCTGAAAAGCGCTTAACGCAGTCTTAATGTCTACAGATGCAATCTTTTTGTTTTCGTTGAAACAAGCTTTCCTAGCTTGTAAAGGTCCTAGAACAAGAAATTTAGTGCCAACCAGACGCCTTCTTTATTCTTCTTTATTTTAAACTCAGATCAAGAAAATGCTTAGGCAGCACTTCACATACTGCCTGTGATACAGAATACATTTGTAGTACATTTGGTATATTCCTCCAGAGGAACACTTGCTCCAAATGAAGCCCTTTGCTTTGACCAATCAATCAGAACAAAAAGGACTGAGCAAACATGCTGATTGTTTTTTTATGATTATTTAAGAAAATAAATAAAAGTAAATTAACAGAGTAATTACAATATTTGGCGGGCTTTTTTTTAGCATGCAGTACTTTGCTCAGTGTCTTTAACAGGACACTTGAAAACCTGAGTCAGCCATAGGAGGATCATGCCCTCTACTGGTGGATGAAGCTATCATTATTTTTTAACAACTCTGAAAGGAAACGGAAATACATACTCAAAAATACCAATCCAGATTTGTGCCACAAGCCTTTGAAAACTGTCTTCAATTATAATCATTAAAATAATGTATCAGGTGTGAATATTCAAAATATTTATACATTGGAAAGCCATGATATTCTTTTTCCTCCTTTGTTCACTTTCATCCTACAAATTTATCAGACCACTTCATTTCATTCTTGCTTTACCCGTGACTATGTTTTTTAAACAAAGACTATATTTTTACACAAATAGTGCGCACCTTCTACGTTTGTTTGCCAACTGCACGCTCCCTGAGTGAGGTAATTTCATAAGCATAATATGCTAATTTTTTTACAGCAGGATGTAAAAAAAATTGGCATAGTGGTGCTTATGAAAATAGCTCGCCGGGGGAGGACACCACGACTGACAAACAAACATAGAAGGCATGCATAATTTACATAAAAATACAGTACATGTTTAATATTTACACATATTTTATTTTTTAAAACACTGAACACATTGACAATACAAGATAAATGTGCAATAAATTAATATTGTGCTATTATTGTGTTGTTGTTGTCGTTGCTAGGTGCCGTTGAGTCGGTTCCGACTCATAGTGACCCTGTGTACTACAGAACGCTATTATTAGCATTCATTAATTCATAACAATTGGTATAATATTTCTATTATTGTTCACATTACTGCTACCACTGAATCACTATCTGACCACAACTGCAGTTTATACTAAATTTCAATGTGTGTATATAACTGAGCCATAAAGCAGCATATTGATCTAAAATTTTCAGGCATTTTACAGTTTTTAAAATTTAGCATAAGGAAGTTGCTGTAAATAGCCTGGTGTTTTAGATTGCCTACCAAAATTCCACAAGCTGAAAAATTTGAAGCTACCTTTAAAATTAAAAGCAAAAAGTCCTGACATTATGAAGCACACAGACACAAAAAGAAAAGGAAGATATCAGCTGCTATCTAATGCAGTGGTTTTACATACCTATGAAAGTGAATTTTATTTTGCTTCTGAACATTAATTTGTCTGATTTTAGAGACTTCTTTTTAAGTTTAAAAATGTTCACATGCTTGTTAGCACTATGACTATATTAACCATAGTATAACAATCATGGCAAGCATAAAGTACAAATTAAAAACAATAAAAAGGTCCTTTTAAAGTCAGTCAAAATGTGAGGGGGTCCTTCATTTATTTCTTATTTGTAATTTCCAAGTCTCTGATTTTCATTTTAGAAAGATCACTGTTTGCTGTGTGATGAGCAAATTACAGGTCAAAAGGAGACCTGTTGGAAACTACTGCACTAGTCCAGGTAAAAGATGATGGAGGCTGGGCAATGGCAGAGAGAAGTGGATGGATTCAAGATACATTACAAAGATAGAGCTCCCGGGCCTTGCTGATCTACTGGATGTAGAAGGTAAGGAAAGAGGAATAAAAGATGACTTTCGGGTTTTGAACTTGAGTAGCTTAGAAGGATGTTGGTACCATTCAAAATGATGAGAAGGCTGGGGAGGAGAAATTTGGAACTGAAGAATTAAGAGTTCTGATTTAGAAATGTTAAGTATTAGATGCCTATTCAATAGTGACGTAGGGATGTCAAGTAAGCAGCTGGATATTTGAGTTTGGAACTCAGAAGGCTAGAGATATAATGTAGGGAGTAGTAAATTTAAAGTTATGATAAAACTTATGACAAAGTTTAAAGACTTGCGAGTGGAAGTGATCACTTAATGAGGTAAGTATGGAAAGAAAAGAGCCCTGAACCAAGCCATGGGACACACAGCAATTCTAGAGTAATTTCAGAGGCCACTTGGGTGGGAGAGTTGTATCACAGAAGCCAAGAGATGAAAGAGGTATCTCAAGACGGAGAGAGTGATCAGCTCTGTCCAATACTGCTGAGAGACCAAGTTAGATAAGGACAGTCAAGTGACCACTAGATTTGGTAACTTAAAGCTTCATCTAATTATACACCTAGGAGTTATTAGGAAATATATAGGTGCTTTTCCTACAACAAATATTCAGTCCTCACAACAACTCTATGAGGTGAGTTTTATCATCCCCATTTTACAAATGTGGAATTTGAAGTCCAGAAAGGACAAATAAGTTACCTAATATCACACAGCTAGAATGCAAACCCTACTCTGAGTTGAGATAGGAGGTAAAGATGTTCAGTTAACAATTCTTTTTTTTTTATTTTTTTATTGTTGTAGTTTAAGTGAAAGTTTACATTTCAAGTTAGTCTCTCCTACAAAAATTTATACATACATTGTTATTGACCTTAATTGCTTTCCCTATACTGTGACAGCACACTCCTCCTTTCCATCCCTGATTTCCCGCGTCCATTCAACCAGCTCCTAACCCTCTCCGCCTTCTCATCTCACCTCCGGACAGAAGCCTCCCATTTAGTCTCATGTATCTACTTGAACTAAGAAGCACACTCTTCATGAGTATTATTTTATGTCCCACAGTCCAATCCAATCTTTGTCTGAAGAGTTGGCCTCGGGAATTGTTCCAGTTCTGCGTTGACAGAGACTCCGGGGACCATGTTTTCTGGGGTTCCTCCAGTCTCAGTCAGACCATTAAGTCTAGTCTTTTTACTACAGTTGGAGTTCTGCACCCCATCTTTCTCCTGCTCCATCAACGACTTTCTGTTGTGTTCCCTGTCAGGGTGGTCATTGGCGGTAGCCGGGCACCATCTTGTTCTTCTGGTCTCAGGCTGATGCAGTCTCTGGTTTATGTGGCCCTTTCTGTCTCTTGGGCTAATACTTTCCTTGTGTCTTTGGTGTTCTTCATACTCCTTTACTCCAGGTGGTTGGGACCAACTGATGCATCTTAGATGGCCACTCACTAGCTTTTAAGACCCCAGATGCCACTCACCAAAGTAGGATGCAGAATATTTTCTTAATAAACTTTGTTATGCCAATTGACCTAGATGTGCCCTGAAAGCATGGTCCCCAGACCCCCACCCCTGCTACTCTGTATTCAGGAAACTTCTTAGCTTTGGTTTAGTCCAGTTGTGCTGACTTCCCCTGTAGTGTGTGCTGTCCTTCCCTTCACCTAAGATAATTCTTGTCTACTATCTAGTTAGTGAATAACTTTCCCCTTCCCTCCCCACCCTGGTAACCATCAAAGAATGTTTTCTTCTGTGTTTAAACCTTTTCTTGAGTTCTGATAATAGTGGTCTTATACAGTATTTGTCCTTCTGTGACTGACTAAATTCACTCGGCATAATGTCCTCCAAATTCCTCCATGTTCTAAGATGTTTCACAGCTTCATCGTTGTTCTTGATCATCGCGTAGTATTCCATTGTGTAAATTTAAGTACTTTGAGCCATGTTCTGATTTACTGCTTCTTGTGGCAATCAACTTCAAAAGCGATCTTTACCTTATATAAAGCATACCTTAAAAAGGATTATTCACAATAAAGAAAAAAAAATTCTTACAAAATGGAACATGTATTATAGGACTAGGAGGATTTAATCAGAGCCCTAGTGGTGCAGTGGTTAAGAGTTTGGCTGCTAACCAAAAGGTCGGCAGTTCAAATCCACCAGCCGCTCCCTGGAAACTCCATGGGGCAGTCCTATTCTGTCCTGTACGGTCGCTATGAGTCAGAATCGACTCAACAGCAGTGGGTTTGGTTTGGGTTAGGATTTAACTTGATGTTAAAGCAAAAGGAAAATAGTTTTGGTTCTATTAGCCCAGATGCAATATTTCTTCAAACAGTAGAAATTTTCTTAGTTCACTTCTTTAGACTTTAGGCATTTTTACGTTTCAACAATAAAGGCTTTCTTTCTTTTTAATTTCTTAACATGTATTCCCTCCAAATTTATCAATACAAACTACAGTTCTTTTTTTCTTGTTTCAAAGACAAATGAACATATCATGCTGAGTTCTAATTCATTTCGATAACAATAAAATGAATTACCAAGATTTTCCATTAAAAATTTTTCTTATTTGATAGACTCTATAAGGTAGCTTTATCACAAACTATGGTATAAGCCATAGAAATTTTTCATATATGAGAACAACATTTTGAGAGGAGTGCTGTTTTATTATTCATAAATAACGACAAGTTATTTAAATATTTACCCTTTATAAGGATTAAAAGATAAATTCAAAGTATATGATGTTTAAAAAATTATCATTTCCTATTTTGTACAGTAACTGAGATCTGTTCTGTCATTAATAGCTTTATGTTATCTTCCTAATATAGCATGGTGGACAAGAGATTTGGAATTGCAAGTCATGTGTTTAAGAACTGATTCTATTGATTACCAGTTATATGTGAATACACTTTGTAAATTCAAAGGCACTGCGCATATCGGATATATTTTTTCCACTACTTCAAAAGTATTTGCATAATGGAAAAGTTAGGCTGTAAAGCCGTAATTTCACAACACAGCACAATGTTAAGGATTGAGAAGTGGTTGGACAAAATCTCAATGTCCCAATGAACATAAATAATTCAGAAGAAAAATTATCTTGGAGTTTCAATCAAATTGATACCCTTCGAAACTCATATTTTAGCCTTCATTATCTAAAATGGCTGCCTCCACTTTTGGTTTTCCTATCCACCAAGGAAGACTTCTTCTAAATTGTATATAATTCTGATAAATTCTGCTCCTTGATACTAACATATCTCAAGCAATATTTAAAGGCTATTGATACAGAAAACAAATCTACATATGCAATAAAGAGTTATTCTGTTGAATAGCTTTATATTGTGCATAACTGAACTGGCACTTGGCAATTAATGGAAAATATTCATTAAATAGAGACTCAAGTAAAATTTTAAATATCTATCAAATCATCTTTTTTTTTAATGTACAGTTTGAAGGGTCTGCTGACTAGAATTTCACATCGTCTTCTTGCCTAAAACACAACCTTAATGTTTGGTCTACTAATCTAATTTTGGTTTCCTTAAAGGGGAAAGAGGACTCAAGGATACTTGCAAAGCAATCTAAATTTTTGTTCCAATCTTTTACAAGTTTCTCACTCATACTTTAAGCATTTTTTAAAGATTCTCATCTTTATAAAGTCTTTCCATAAATACAACTTAGTTTTCATAAAAACAACTACTTTTTGTTTTAGTTTGCATAATTTTTAGTTTAGGGCAATGGTGGTTCAATGGTAGAATGCTAGCCTTCCATGCAAGAGACCTGAGTTCAATTCCCAGCCAGTGGACCTCACGTGGAGCCACCATCCGTCTGTGAGTGGAAGCTTTGGTGTTGCTGTAATGCTGAACAGGTTTCAGCAGAGCTTCCAGACAAAGACAGGCTAGGAAGAAAGGCCTGTCGATCTACTTCTGAAAATCAGCCAAAAAAACCCTATGGATCACAATAGTCCAATCCCATTGTGCACGGGGTCACCATGAGTTGGGGGCCATCCTGATGACAGCTAACTACAGTAACAATTTTTAATTAAATTATATAACTGTGACAAAAATTATAACTGTTTTAAATTGTTTGGGGAGTGTGGCAGTGGAGTGCTGGGGCTGGCTCCCACCAGCTCACAGAGCCAACTGTGAGCATCTTTTCCCACCAGCTCACAGAGCCAATTGTGTGCATCTTTTCCCAAGTCCATATTCAGTGACCTCACTTTGATAGGCTGAAATTAGTCATGGTGGGAGTATTCATACCGTAGGTAACAGCAGACACTATAAATCAGGGCTTTTTTCAGAGAGCTGGAATGTTAAACATTTACCAACATACCACTAGTATTGGGCATAGCAGAGAAGAGCCTACTGACCAAGACTCTTCAGTACATCCTGGGCTTCAGCCAAGACAGTAAGGGAAATGGTTAAGTGGAGTATGTTTAAGAGAGTTACCAATGAAGGGCAATGATTGTTGTCTTTTGAGTGTGACTGAAATGACATATTCAATCACACTGTACTTTAATGGAGCCTTAGTGGTACAGTGATTAAGAGCTACGGCTGTTAACCAAAAGGTTGGTGGTTCAAATCCACCAGCAGCTCCTTGGAAACCCTATGGGGCAGTTCTACTGTGTCCTATAGGGTCACTATGAGTTGGAATCGACTCGATGGCAAAGGTTTGATTTTTGTACTTTAACAGAAGTAACACAAGGTATTCATCTTTCTAACATTTAAAGAAGATAAATCACCAATTTGAAGACATTGTCTTTGGGCATAGCTTTATTATATATGTTTCTCTCTTGTAATTATATTCACTACAAATTATAATAATTAGTAAGAAAAAATGAGATATTGGCAGAACAAAGATGTGGGATAAAATTAGAAAGCAATGACCTAATACATAGATGAAGACAGAGAATAAGAATTTTAAATGAGGACAAGGGAAAGACGCCAAACAAATAGTTAAATCCATTAATTATAGCCATTATTAAATAGAGAGAAAGTTTCAATTTGTGAAAATTCTATACAACATCTAGTGTTTCCAAACACCATAAAATAAATAAAGGCGTTTAATAAAAAAAAAAAAAAAAAGAATCTATATCTATTGGCTTTAACAAGTAGCAAATAATGATTAAATATAAAGTGAAATTTGTTCTTAAGTAAGCTGTTGGGTCTGAAGATCACTATATTCTTACCGTTTTGTGATCATTAACAATCATAAGTTCCAAATATTTCATTTCTTCAAACACACCACGAGATGGCTGTGGTAAACAGAAAATATATGGTCAGAATAGTGGTTGATATAAAAAAATTTCTGATGCTTATTATTAAATTGCAGATTGACTTCAAATCTCAGAAGAACTCTCTGCTGCCTACTTAATAAACATTCTGGAAGAAACAAAGTCAGGAAGCGAAGCATCTACTTATGACCTGATCAAAGAGGTGCCCAGAGGAATCAAAGAAAGTAACCATAAAGTGTAGGTAAACACTCCAATATGGATGAAATTTGAGTGTTTACCTACACTTTATGGTTACTTTGGTGAGATTCAATGATATTAATGAGATTTAATGATCAGTATGGTTAAGTAAACATCAAGATAGGCAACAGCCCATCTTGATTTTATACGTAAAAATATTCTAGGGGAAAATGTACAGTATAATTTTGTTAAAATAAATAAACCTCAATTTCTTTGGCATTAAGATGTGATTTAAGAAACTCCTATCTACTTAAAACTCCAAAGATAATATACTTAAAACTTGTTTAATAAGAACAGCATAAATTATAATTACCTACAGGTTCATCTGAAATAGGTATCAATGTAGTCAAACAAAACTAATTTGCTGGATTTAAATAATAATAATAATATATCAAATCTTAACCACAAACTTCTCAAAGGAACAAACAATTATTATATTCTGGCACTTCTAAATTTTAATTACTACTAGATAGTCTTTTAAGAGTAAGGGCTAAGTTTTTAGCCCTTATTTGGGCTTTTATTTTTTAAGTTGGAAAATTGATAATGGTGGCTCTTTGTTTTGTATCTACATGGTCATTGATCAGTTTATATTGGATAGAGGTGCATAGTAGTGAAAGACTGGCCTACATCCATACATATAGTTATATACACACACACACACACACATTCATACATATAGTTATATATAGTTATATATGCATGTATATATATACTGTGTAACTTATATATTATATATATAAAACTTATTATAGATTTATATAGAACATACATATACCTTATTACTACTATATAAGCTTATTATTACCTATATAAAACTTATTATCAACTGCATCTTCAAAGGTTAAAAAAAAAGAAATCTCTAAGTTAAAAAAAGAAAAAAAAGATATCCAAAATCACCATAATACCGAGACAGGCTCATAAAATCAAGGATGAGTTATACTGGAACTAACTTTTCAGTGGCTGGTGGTCTAATTTTCCACAGAAAATACATCCAGCAAAACATCATCTAAAATGTGCAATTTCCACTATAATTACTCATTAAGTTATCCAGTAAATTACCATGTAATCTATAAGCTATGGAATTAATTCTCGGTTACATAGCATTCACTATATAATTACTAAACAGTCTTCATCATTACAACTTTCTAATCTATTATGAAAAACACTAGGAACATAATTTCACTTACAAAGCCCCTATACATTTATCAATACATGTGAGGTATACAACAGTTGTTGATTCTATGAATTCATGATTTTTTATTTAGTAACTGTCATATCACTAATGGTCAAATAGATTCACTCTATTCTGAAAAACACATTCAGCTTCAAAGTTTTGTATAATGGAATTAATTTGAAAGAAATACAAATAAACATAATTATTCAACATCTGAAAACCTAACTCCTTCCTCCACTTTTTTGTTAGGAGGAACATTTTATACGATGTTATATAAACCATATCGCCCAAAAAAACTTCTGTACTTTTAATAGAAAAAAAAAGAATTGCAATTTTTATAAGAAAACACTTTGAAAATGGACCTAAAATGATACGTTCTTTATATGACATCAGGGTTCACAGAATACTGTAATCAGTTTGAATAATTATTAGGGAGAGATGAAAAAAAAAGTAGTGTGCCTATAAGGTACAGCTTAAACTCAACTAAGAGATCATGGGAGCTCTGCTGGTGCAGTTGTTAAGTGCTTGGCTTCTAACTAAAATGTCAGTGGTTCAAACTCACCAGCCACTCCACAGGAGACAGACGTGGCACCCTGCTTCCATAAAGATTTACAACCTTGAAAACCTTACGAGGCAGTTTTAACTCTGTCCTCTATAGTCAATATGAGCTGGAATTGACTCAATGGCAATGAGTTAAGTTTTTGGTTTAAAAGATCATAATCAGAAGGTTTTTTGTTTGTTTGTTTGTTGCTTTTGTTTTTCAAGAGGAAGTTCCCCAAATCTAAATTGTTTTAGACACACTCAGGTACTGTGTAATGCGAAGCCCACAATTCAACTGAAAAAAATAAACCCGCCCTATGGCTCAGTACTACACTCACATTCACTGCTCTCTTTCTTCTCCTTCTCAGCCACTGCAATTGAGATAAAAAGGGCCACCGGTCACTACTTTCCACACCTGTGCAAAAGGAAAGCAAATGCCAAAATTTATATTTGACTGCTTTTCAGTGAGAGTAAGTTTTTTGAATATGATATGAAAGAATAGTGGCATTGATAATATGTGTCACCTCAAAATCAAGATAACTTTAGGTGAGAAAAGTACACTGATTTTTAAATATTTCACAGTTTCGTGGTCACAAAGACAGCTGAAACATGTAATTTTCTTCCATACATCATGAAAAGCGTATGAGCTGTTCAAATTCATTAGCATATGTGTATTTGACCTACAACCACATGACACTCACTATCTGAAACTTTGAAGACAAGTCTGCTATGCTTAATTCATTTTATAATTAAAAATAAATTAAGGCATAAGTTTTTGGATAAATTATTAAACGGGTTTTGCATTAAAATATAGAAATGATATCACATACTCAAACAATCCAAAAGAAGCTTCTGCCAATATTAGCATCTAAGATGCCTCAGAATCAGAGAATAAGAGGGAGACAATACAAGTTGGCTAAACAGCAGCAAACTGCCAGTGAAATTTAAGGATGAACCTTACTAAACCACTCTGGTTCTCAATGAGCTTTACTCCTGGGCTTCATATTTTGGTCTTCCCATTGCTGCCCACCCACACTGCTCACCCCAGGTCTTGGACCACTTCCACTGACCATTAAGCCTGCATGTCTACTGAGTTCTACCAAGTCACAACTCCTACAACAGCTGTTTTAATTAAAACTTACTGAGATTCTTCTTTTGCTTAGAATATTGTCCCGCCAAAGTTTTCTGGATTATATGTGGTCGACCTGTGCTTTTCTGAAACAAAAAAATTATAGTAAATTAAAAAGCAAGATGTGAGCAAGCTTTTATGGAACAGTATTAAAACCTTCTCGAAGGTTATTCTCCTAAAATGAGAATATTCATATGATAATTATCTAACAAAACAAGAAAAGTATATATCTTATTGAAACTTTTATTTTAAGTAAAAGACTATCTTCTAACTGCTCCAGTTTAGATGATGATCATAGTTTCATTAGCTAATCTTAAACCTTAGCTTTCTTAAAAGCCATGAATAGGAAATTCACAAGAAAGGACCACAATCGGTCACTGATTATATGAAAAACTGCTGAACATTCTAATACTGCTTCAAAATGCAAATAAAAAGAAAACCAATGAGATATCAAGTTTTCCCTCGATTTAGCAAAGATTTAACAACTATGATATCCACAGTTAATTATGGCTGCAAAGCACAAAGTGCTTTCACACATTGCTGGTGGGAATAAACTGGTAGTACAGTTTCCAAGAAAAATATAGCAATATTTATCAATAACCTTGAAAATATCCATATCTTTCTGGAATATGAATTAGAAATTTCACTTTTAGGAATCTATTCTTACCAATACTATTACTATTAGCTACCATTACTGAGTGCAAAGTACGTGCCAAGAACTGCTAATGTATACACTACCCAATTTAATCCTTGCGAGAACACCGTATAGTGTATATTTTATCACCATTTTACAAATATCTTGAGACTCAGAGAGATACATTGTTGAACTAAGATTATATTACAAAATAATGATCCAATTAATTTTTAATGGAAATATATCATTGAAAAATTTAAATAATATACACTGAATGGTGAAAAGAGGTTATCTCTGAAGAATGGTATGATGGCTAATTATTATACAGTTATTTGCTTATTTTGCTTTTCCTGCCAAGTGTTTGTTTTATAATTATAAAGTTACTTATTAAAAAGAGCCTTCTTAATATTTTACATAAAAGACTTACAATAATTACGAATTTTGCTCTTCATTACTTGAGAGATAACATGAATTTTCATTAGAAATATTCCATCCATATTACTTGATTTATTTTAAGGCATATTACAATTAAATATCCAGACTTAAAATCAAAAATCACAATTTAATTGCAGTAAGCTCTTAATTCTGATAACAAACAGGTAAAAAGATATCGAGATTAATGAGATACCAACTATTCAGTAAACCGCATAAAAACAAAGAGCTTAACATATAGATGTTGGATCAGCAACAGAATTTTTAGAATGACTCATTTAGTTTCAAGTGCTGTTTCTTTTCCTCCATTCACGGTGAGGATGAGAACAAGCAGTTATATAAAGGAAGGGTAGGCAATAAGAAGGAAAGCAAAAAAGAAAAGATAACAAACAAGTAAAAAGCAGCCCTTGAACAATATTAGAGGTACAATAATGAGAAACCAGTGCTTTAAACATTATAATAGCAGTTTCTGTCTTTATCTGACAGTTTATTAGACACCGTCTCATACATTTATTTGTTCAACAAAGCTACAAAACTGCCCTGTGAGATATGTATTGAAAATTTATCATCTCATTTTTCACATTTAAAAAACACTAAGGCTTAGAGAGTTGTGTTTTTGGGGGTTTTGTTTTTTGTTTTCTTTTCTTTTTACCTTTTTTGTTTTTTAAGGGAAACAGGGCCATTAACCACAGGCAGAAATCAAAATCAGAATTTTTGCTAAATGAGTCAAGTAATTTTGTTGTACACAGGTTATCTACCTACCACTGGCATAAGGGGAAATAATATTTTACTTCATCCAAAGGTCCAGACGGAGGTTTTTTCATTATCTGTTTTTTTTTTTTTAATAGTTCCTAGCTGAACAACAGTTCAGATTTATTCAAACACTAGCCATTTAAAATGTAACATCTTTTCTGCCTCAAATTTGGAATTTACCCCCACATTCACTGTCACAACCAAGAAAACAAATATGTCTCTGTTCAACTGTTATTGTCAGTGGCCTAGAGGACTATCATTACCTGTCTCAAAATGTATTTTATCCAAATGTGAAATCGCTAAAGACAAAAAAATGTTTTCTGCTCCCCATTTAAATGGCAACATTCTGACTCTATCACTCTCAAAATATTCGTTTTACATTGGCAGTTCTTTTCACTAATCTGACCCCCCTCCTGTACTTCTCTGCCTTCATCTCCTAAATTCTCCCCCTTGTTCACTCCTCTCCAACCTAGTCAGGCTCTTCAGAGTTCCTAGAACACACTAGGCACACTAACCCTCAGGGCCTTTGCATTTGCTCTTCTCCTAAAATGTTCTTCCAGCTCCCTAATTTCCTTAGGGTCTTTATTCAGAACTTAACTTCACTTTGTGGCCTTTCTTGGACAGTCAATATAAAAGCTTAACTCTCCCCTCCACCCTCTTGGCTTTATTTTTTCTCTTTAGTATGTATCACTATTTCACCTACCATATATATTTACTTACTCTTCTTGTTTATTGCTATCTGCCCCTATAGACTTTAAGCTCTGTGAGATTCAGGTTCTATATCTGTTTTGTTCACCACAGTCTCCCTAGCACCTAGAAAAATATCCAGCATGTAGGAGGCCCTCAATACACTATTTGATGAATATACATCAAAATTTAAATTTGCTGTATGATTTCTTATATAGGTGGCTGGCCAGTACAGGATTCAAAACTTTATTTTCCTCCCTATCTCTAGAGAAACCTAAATATTATACCATGTAATCATAGTTCAACCCACAAGTTTCTCCACTGGAGATTCTAAGGCTCACAAAAGTTATCTAATGAAGACAATAAGAATAAAAGCTAGTTGGTCGCCATGAGTCAGAATGGACTCCATGGCAACTGGTTGTTATTTTTTTTTTTAGGAGAAGAATTTGGTCAGTACAAAACAAAATGTCCCTTCTCTCCGTAGATTAAACGAACACTTGTCTTAGCTTCAGAAAACCTAGGTTTGATGCCTCTTATCATCCCTCACTGGTATGTGGCCTGGGATGAGTAATTTAAGCTTCCAAACTCATGGTGTCATTCTAAGTTTGAAATAAGGCAGTACATACAACACACTTCAAAATATATACTATTTTCTCTTTACTACTCAAAGGCAAGGATGCTGACAGAGTACAGAACCATAAGAATACTGATGGCATGGCCAGACTTACTTCATCATGAAGCAGCTCCAGTGGTTCTATCATATACATAAAGGTATTGTCTTCAAACATGCCACTATAATACAAGAAACCACACCAGGGAGAATTAGCAAGTACAGAAAATGGCAAGAAATAGTCAGCAAGTTAGCTTTACTACTGTAGCTTTGAAAATAAATTGCCTGAACAAATACCTTTATACTGCCCAAATCAAATCCACATATCTGTATGTAGGGAACCCCACTGTGGTCTCCACACCCTACTAGACACCATTCAGGCTACAAAAAGTGAAAAAGTGAACACCAAGAGCAGATATATTATAACTGATATACTTTTTTTTTTAACTAAATGGACAGGTGAGAAGACTGATCTGGGATAGTACTGTACATGCAGTTCCAGTATCTCAAGTTACTATTTCAGCACAATGTATGACTAGCACGAATATGCAAACCCAATATCATCTATAAGAACATAGAAAGGTTGTACATACATGAGGATAATCTAAAACCATTAGGTTCTGAAGGGGCAAACAGAAGTATGCTGTGGATTTCCATCAAGCAGTATGGTACAAATCACACTGAATTTTGACAGATTCAGAATTTTTTATAAAACGTGAAAAGATTTTCAAGATCCTCTTCCATGACATGGTCAAAACAAGATCTTGACATGAAGTACTACTGTGTTCCAGACTAAAAAGTGCCTAGGGACAGCCTTTTCAGATTCTGCCTCAGAGAAGATGCATGACCCTGACTCCCTTGCCTAGCTAACTCCTACTTATCCTCAGGTCTAATCTGAGTGGTATATCCTCAGGAATACACCACCAGGAAACCTTCCTAGACTAGGTTTGGCCACCCCATAAGCTCCTGTCCTTCTCCTTCACAGCACCGACCAAAATGGTAATTAAATATTAATCTGTGTAATCATTTGTTTAAGGAGCCCTGGCGGCACAACGGTTAAGCACTTGGCTGCTAACCGGAAGGTTGGCGGTATGAACCCACCCAGTGGCTCTGCAGGAAGAAGACTTGGAGATATGCTCCCATAAAAATTACAGCCTAGAAAACCCTGTGGGGCAGTTCTACTCTGTCACATGGAGTCACTATGACTCAAAATTGACACGATGGCACCTAACAACAACAACAATCACTTGTGTAATCTCTGAATCTCCTGCAAACTTTAAGTGTTAAGAGGACAGAGACTTTGCCTCCCTCTTCACCCTTGACAAGATGGATTGACACAGTGGCTGCAACAACTGGCTCAAATATAGCAACGATTGTTGAGGATGGTGCAGGACTGGCAGTGTTCTGTTCTATTGTACATAGGGTCACTACGAGTCGGAACCGACTCGGCAACACCTAACAACATTATTTCATCACTGTACACCCAGTCCCTAATATGGGACTGGCACAGACGAGTCACTCAATAAACATCTGTGAAAGAAAAAAATGGAAAGGGTGACTGGATGAAAGCAAGTATGAAGGGTTTAGGGACCTAATGAGATTCCACATACTGAAGTCCATTGCAGGTCGACAGAGCTGCCTTGGAGTCCTTGATGCCTCTGATGCTTCCATGGTAGTAACAGTGCTCTCCACCCTACAAAAAGAAGGTGGTTTTAATTGGTTAATTATGTTTTATGCAACATGATTCACTCTTTGGATGCTTCTATAAAGCAAAAAGAAATGCAAGGATGGGAATATGCACTGTGGATGAACAGTCCTAGGAACTCCTGCTGGTTGATGAAGTCTTAAAGAGGACTACGCAATTACTCACCTTTTCTATAATGAGCAAGTGTGTGTTAAATTTAATAAGGAGAAAAGGTTTTAAGGGAATAAGACAGTGATGTAACTGGTAAAACTTGTATATATTTTTTAAGCATGTAAGGAAGTAGATACTTCCCAGATATTGTTATGGAATAAGATCCTTTACTGAGCAGAGACCCCCCAACATCGTTTTTTATAATCATTTTTGATGGAAAATTATATAAAACCTTACTATTTGCTTTTCGGCTTTTGAAATTATTTGTTATAGAAATAGTATATAAAACATAGATTTGAAAGTCAAATAGTAGCATGAGGCCTATTTTTAAAAAACACAGCAATTTCCTTTCCCTCTCCCTCCCTACCTCTGAGACAATCATTTTTAATTCTCTTAACTGTTTCTTCTGGTGTTTACCTATATATTTCAGAATGAAATATTTATACTGCTATGTGTTGATTTATTCAGTTTTAGAAATTATCTCCCTAATATGCAATCTTGAAAACCTCTCTGGCCCCAAATACATTCTAATACATATCAACATTTTTTGGTTAAATCAGTATTTAGTGTATATTATGAC